CAAAAAAACAATATGAGGTTACGTTTGTTAGAGCAGGGAACACTGTTTTCCTCTTTATGGCAGTCCACCTCCGTCTTCAGGATCCTGGTCATGCTTGTTTCTTTTTTCTTTTCTTGTCTTTTTTGGTTGAAAAGGATTTTGCTCGTGTTTGTAAATGCAATGGCAACTTTTCAGGGTTAAAATTCACTGCTGAGTTAGGCTTTAAGGGTCTCTACCTCCAGTGGTGATTGGCAGCCTTGTTGCCTGTGGTGATTTGTTTGGATTGACACACATGGCTCAATAACTTAAGAAAAAAATTTAAACCACAGTGATTTTTTTCTACATTCAAAATACAAAAGTCAGGTGGTTCTGAGTTTCTTTTTCGGAATTAACTGATGATTACGAAATCAAATTTAAATAAGACCAATAACAGAATGATGTTTAATGCTAAAACTATAAAAGTGAAAGGGAAATGTTGCTTAAGATAAAAAAAACCCAGCTTGTTATGTATATATATTTTTTCTTTTGACCATATGAATTTAAACTTACACTACATTGCTATAACTGTACTTAATTTATGATAAAAAATCCACACAGTAATGTCAGGAAAGTTTGAATCAGTACACAAAGCAGCAAATATCATCACACGGTTGGAAATGCCTTTTAAGCCCTAAAATGTGAGGATGTAATACCCAGGAGACACATGCAGGATGACATGGGAGGTGGGGAACGGGCTGCCGTAGCTGCTGAGTAAGAGGGTGTGTGCCAGCGCTCAGACCCTGAGTGACAGCTATTGACCTGCTCAGCCAAAAGACGTCTCTGTGGAAACGCCATTGATTATTGCCACGGCAATAAAGGTCCTGGAAGCCTGTGAGAATGTCACGACTCCGCGCTGCCCATGTGAGCCGGAGCCCTGACACACAAACACAGCGACAGGAACACCTTCACGGTGTCACATCCTAACCCACATCCACTCATTCTCTTGTCAGGAAATATAAGATAGACAACAGACCGGTGGCCTGGTCAGTCCCCAGCAGGCCAGCACGTGGGTTTGTGTGGAGAAGCAGGAGGAGTGAATCCTCCATGGACCCATTACCATGTTTTAAAGTGTAAGGTGGCCAACATTTCTGAATAGCCGGTGAAACACTAATTCAGGTCATAGCCATCTTTTTTTAGTCATCTTCCCAAATTCTGCAGCTACCCCAATGCAGTGGACACTGTTATTTAGATCCCTAATTAAAAGAGAAAAACAAAAGGGAAGTTAGGTAGATGTTGGATAAAACTATAGCAAAACAAATGGAACAATTTGCAGTGTCATATACTCACAATTTAATATAAGACATTTTTATATTCCATAAAATATTTGAGCTTATGTGGAGGTAAATTGCAGCAGTATATTTAAAAATGTGAGGACAGGGTCACGTTTACTGGTGTGCAGAATCCCATTTGTCAGTAAATGTCTAGGAAGTGTCCATTAACTTGACCTTTGAGAATGGGTTCTAGTTTCCCACTACAACTGGGTCTTGTCTTTTATATTTTTTGGACCATGCAAGTGCCAGAAGTTAAAAACATTTGAGTCATTTGAGCTTTTACATATCAGAGCAGATGTGAGTGTAAAAAAAGTATTTATAAAAGTAAGAGATCTGTTAGGGATATAGTTTGAATGTTACCATAAGTTGTTGGCATTTTTACCATTCACAAATCTTCTGAACAAAATGATTGGTTTTATCAACCTGCAGTAGCAAACAGTGAAGGAAAACGCAGGCTTTGGAGGAACATGCTCACATCTAGATGCATTCGCTTTAGGAAGAAAACTGAGAGAAAGGATGGAGGTGTTTTTGCCATTTCTTACATGAATCATCTGAATAAAATGAGCAGATACAATGGACAAGGCGGGAGTCTTAAACCTGGGTGAGGATATTAGAAATATCAAATCCTGGACCAAGTCAGAGTTGCAGTAAAAATGTTTCTATCTGGCTTTCAAGCTACACAGCCGAATTATCATTGCAGGCAGGGGAGTGTGTCAGTCTGTTCTATCCATGGTGACTACAAAAAGAGTTCAGCTGTGTTATGTCTATCACAGTGTGGGACACCATCAGCTCAGTTATTGTCAAGCTGCAAATACAATACCCAATCTATTCCATTGGAGATGCATTCAGATGATGGGATATCTAAAGGCATGCGGAGTAATGTCATTCTAAAACTGGTCCAGAATTCGTTGACATAGTCGACTATTGAACCTCTGACTGTCTTTACCTCTGATATAGTCCTTCTGCTGCTTTTAAACCCATTCATAGATCTGCATTGTTGACAAATTAACCTAACCATTCCCTTTTCCTGCCTTTTGCTGCCATGTTCCTTTAAAAAATAGACCACTTTCACTTCAACATTGTTTGTGTCTTGTGTTCTTTTGTGAATTAAATATGGGTTTATGAGCTTTGTGAATAATTGGTTCCTGTTGAATCTAATTAATGAATATGTCTAATTGATTGGAATTAGCGTATGTATAATGAATAATATAATAATAATTTGACAGGAACCCAAAGACAACGTGGGTCAACGACTTTTGAGTTTAAAGTACTTTCCGAAAAGGCACTGTGGTGTGTACAATATTCAGAGTGATTAAGGATAATGTTTAATAGATTACCACAAACGTTAACCACCACTACTGTTCTAATGTTTGATACTGTAAAGGTATAGCTCAGAGTGTGATGTCTAACAAAAAAGAACACCTAACCATCTGTATTACTGAGCAAATGCAAGTTGAGAAACTTGTAGACATATGCTGATCTTATTTTAAATCAAATGACCTTTTAAGATGAGTTTTCAGATGACACTTTACGCACCCCCTAAATTTGATCGTTTTTTCTTCAAGAGTCTTCCTTCTGCAATATGGTCAAAACAATGAAGACTTTCTTTTTGTCTTTTTCCATCTCTCCCTCTCCCTCTGTCCCTCGTTCACACACCCACTCACACAAGCGCCATCTCCACCCTTGACCTCGCAGTGAAAAGTTAGTTCACCCGGGGTTGAACTCTCCCAGATCAGCTGCAGCCACAAACTCTGGGAAAGTGCCCCGGACATTCGGACCTGTGCATGTGTGTGTCTGTGTGTGTTTGTGTGTGAGCAGGGAAACACTTGGGGTGTCATGAATGGGAGAGATCTGACCCGCAACCCTTCTGACCTGTCCACACAAACCATCCCCTTTAACCCAAGTCCGCTTTTGTCAGCCTTGACTGCCTCCGTTTATTCACACAGCCTGCCAAAAGGTTCAAAATTCATTATGGACCACTTTGCTGATTATTGTCCGCCCACACTTATGCATCTTCTCACTTCTTTCTTCACTGCTCGTTCCATCATTTTTATTCTCTTTTCCCTGTTCCCATCCCTCCCCTTTTTAACAGGCCCAGCCTCGTCCAGCTAAATGTCTGATCTTGAATTTCTACTTGTGCTGAGCAGACTAAGCATCGGTATCCGTTCCCCACCCAGCTGAACAAATGTCAAACCAAACTTTCAGTAGGCACCTCGCCAAAACATTTGGGAAAAGAAAATATCCATCTCTGTTCTCCAGAATCTATTGCAGACACAAAGTAAAAACTATTTCTCCACACAAAAAGTTCCCTTGCAGCTATAACTGTGATAGAAGATGGCTAATATGATCATGTTTCCATAAGTTGGATTACTATTTCAGCGTATATATGCAGGTTATAAATATGAAAACTTGTCTCTGAAAATGATTGCATCCAAACCAATGCATGCGAGCAGCTGTGGCACCACCGGTTTACACGTTTATCGGCCTGAGCACAGCTCTCAAAGGATTTTCTGGAACCGAGCACAGAGACCAACAGGAATGTCAAAACATGCTTAGTAAGACACTCAGAGACTCACTCAGTTGGGCTGATTAATAAGAAATATGATTAACCTCACAATGATAAGTGGGTAACGTCAGCTATCCCCGTGCTAATTTGGTGTGAGTGAATTGTGTGTAGTGAGAGAGCCATCCTGCATGAAGACAACACCTGTGTTTTACAGTCTGCTTTAATATTTCCACAACTGAAAAGCTCAGCTCACTGAGAATTCATCTAGCATGTTTTCCCCTGTATCCTAGTTACAACCCATTCATTTTAATGCCAAGTTTCCTTTACTCATCCAAAACACCTGTCAAAGGATATTACTTTACACGTTCTTTCATGAATGAAGGCTGACTTCAAACAGTATCCATTGGAAGATGACATTTAAAGGAAAGCAAAACCTCCATGATTACATAATGCTTCAATATTCTATCAGGATCATTTAAATTTGCTAACAGAGTTCGATCCTCTTGCTGCTGTATCATGAACAAACGTCATTTAAATGTGAAAATGTACTATAGATGCCATGTTAATTACTTCCCCCCCATGTTTAAAGAACCTTAAAGTCATTGTCCTACTATTTATTTATTACTATTTATTTCAACATACAGATTCATAGGTCTGCTTTTAACAGACGAGCACGGTAAAGTTGTCTGAAAATTCTCAGATAATCTATGCAACTTCATAGGTGTGCTCAGTGTACCCTAGGGTGAAAAATCTAGCTGTTAGAGGATCTGAGGCCTCCGGACTAAGATCATCTGAGCACCTCCTGCTGGATCAACACGCCCCCTAGTGGCCAATATCTAAAACTGCCAAAATAAAACTCCACAAATGACCATGTTCCCCCCGTAGCCCTCAACGGTAGATTTAATACAAAGGGGAAAATATGGGGACATTTTTCTAAAACACTTACTTAGTTTTGCTTTTGTTTGTATACCTTACATTTATGTTGGAATCCAAATGTATCTAATAAACAGTAAATATTTGGAAGAGCGTTAGATGTTCAGTCTTTCTGGAACAGCTGATGAAGTTCGCTCCAGTTTTTTTTTTTAAATACCGTGAAACATCACTCCCTGCCTTTTGTTTGGACCATGCATGTCAAAAGAGTTCCTTCCTTTAATTAAAAAAATAAAATAAATAAACCCAGCCAAATCACGCCTCCGTGAGATTTGTCCCTGGCGGAAGTTGTCCAGCCTCTCCCGGGTTGGTTTGCAGTACTTAGTGGTGAAGTGCCAGCTATGACTAATAGATGGGTTGAAGTTTTTTTCCTTTTTTTCTTTTTTTTTTAGGGGGAAATACTTTTTTTCCAGTCGGCCTGCTGACGCGTCCAGCCCCTTCTCGGTGCTGCTCGGAGCACAGCGGACTACTTTTTTTCCACCGGCCGACCACCATGATACTTCGCTCTCTGGCTCTGGCGGCCCTGCTTCTCCAAGCCGAATGCTACTTTTCGGAGGAAACGTTCCCCGAGGAGTCGAAAATGCAACTTCCTACGGTGGTGGTCGCTATCATAGCCCGGAATGCCGCCCACTCCCTGCCTTACTACCTCGGGGCCCTGGAGAGACTCAGCTACCCCAAAGAACGCATCTCCGTGTGGTGGGTTTCCCTGAATGCTCCGCGAGGCTGGTCGCGAGAGCCTTTATCTGACTAAAGCAGCCCTTCGAAAGGTCAATAGCATTTAAATGAGTTTGTGAAGGCAGCGGCGCACCTCCCCTCCCCTGTTCCCCCCCTGAACCCCCCAACCCCCCCAGCCGTGGTGCCTTCACTGCCCGGGCTTTTCTCTCACATCACCGCATTCATTTCTGCAATTTTATGAGCCGTCGAGTTCATCTGGAGTAACTATTCGAGGGGCGATCCAATTTCTTAAGCAGTGGGGAGAGTCATAAGAAAGCCACCAGATGATGCCTGCTGCTAGAGGGTTTAAGGATGAGCCTTTTGCTTTCTATTGGAAAAGTTTAACAGTTGGTTTTGGACAGTGATGCAGAGGTGCTGTTGTATAGGTCAAGAAAAATCAGCTGGAAAAAAAAGTACAGGACAGGAAGTGCTTAAAACTTGCAGGAAAATATTCCAAATAATCCAAAGAGTCCCAAAATAATCAGACGCAGACCTCATGAGACTGTGTGAAACAAGGCCATGGTTCTTTGATTCTAGGTGATGGTTTACTGGAGACGTTTTCCAAAACATGAAAAGCAAAATTTGGAGCAAAGAGAGGACTGCTCGGTCACGTAAAGCCAGTAATTACTGCTTCCACCCGGCCGCTCCGCTGCTGGACGCCTCACCAGCTCCTCAGGCTGACGTGCGGCTTTGGGGATCCGTGCTGCTTCACACTCTGCTTTTTCTCTGTGCTCCCCAGGGCGGCCACAGATCACAACTCTGACAACACCACGGCCATACTCAAAGAGTGGCTGACCGTCATGCAGAAGTTTTACCACTATGTGGAGTGGAGGCCCATGGAGCGGCCCACGTAAGTAATTCTGTATGTGTGGGTACGGTGGGTAAGCTGCATTTACCCCGGGCCCTTCAGCCTGTGTTGGTAGGGAGGAAAAGACGAAAGCGTCAGAAAGCACTTTCTCTTTTTTAAGTGCTCCTCCTCTCCTGCATTTTAAAGCTGGATCCAGTCGGGTATTAGAAGATGAGATCAAAATGATTTTCTCCTTACATGAATGATGAGGAATGTCTCTGCTTGTTCCTACTGGTCCAAACTCCTTTTTGATGACTATGCTTGTGAAATTTATCGTGCCTGTTACTTGTTACTTGGTATAAACTGTTCAGCCTGGAAGTCATGCAACATTTTTTCTACCTAATGAATGCTGTTCGCGCATTGTTTTCTTTATACACCAGATCAAGGATGTAACCTGTATTTAATCCAGCATTTTTCATGATTAACAGAATGTAATTCGGGCATTATAACCCACGTCTGGAATACATCTTGGATTTTCCTTTTTTTCTTTTTGAGCTTTAGTTGAGCATAATGTTCCCCTGTCTAGAGGAAAAAAACACAAACCATATTAAGATATGATACAGAGAATTTGTGGGGAGTTTATTGTGGGATTTGATTTATGGCTCCTCGGCTAACCGGATTAGCTTGAAGTGTATTCGGTGAGTGCCTTCTCCATTAATGCCAGTGGCCTGTAAAAGCAGTCCGGAGGAGGTGCTTGTTTTGCTCACCGAGATTCCAAACACCACCGTAACCCCCCCCTGATGAACGTGGTTGTGCCGCAGGTCGTATGCAGGAGAGCTGGGTCCCAAGCACTGGCCCAACAGCAGATACGAGTACGTGATGAAGCTCAAACAGGCGGCGCTCAACTTTGCCAGGAAACGCTGGGCTGACTACATCCTGGTACTCTCTAAACAAATGTTTCTTCTCAGATTAGCCTCAGATCCGTATCAGTGCTTCTGTTGATGTATCAGACACTGTTGATCCAACTCTGTTTAATCCATGACAGAAATTTTGTCCTCTTTCTTCCCCCCCCCGCCTTTATTTCTCATGGCTCTTTTTAGTACGCTGACACGGACAACATCCTCACCAACCCGGACACCCTCAACCTGCTGATTGCGGAGAACAAGTCCGTCATATCCCCCATGTTAGACTCTCAGGGGGCTTACTCCAACTTCTGGTGTGGGATCACTCCACAGGTGAGCAGCTTTCCACGGGACGTCCGCCGGCCGCTGGACGGATGGAGACGTCCGAACTGAGGCGTGTGCATGTGAAAACAAAAGGGACAAGCACATGGAGCTTTGTTTCAGCGGGATATTTTACGCCTTTTGTTCTTCAGGGATATTATCGGCGAACGGCGGAGTACTTCCCCACGCGCCACCGGCAGAGAGTGGGCTGCTTCCCCGTGCCCATGGTCCACAGCACCGTGCTGCTGGACCTGAGGAAGGAGGGCATGAAGAAACTGGCTTTTTACCCTCCCCATGCAGACTACTCTTGGCCTTACGATGACATCATTGTTTTCGCTTTCTCCTGTCGGGCAGCAGGTTGGTCCCGCTACTTCCGGAAACATCGGGTGGCGTTTGGCTGCTTACCAAAGTACACTAAAGTCGCTGTCCGCTCATGAGTTCGAGCTTAAAGCGGAAGGTCTTTAAAGAGGAGAGGAATTGAGTTGGACTCTTGTCTCGCTAGGGTAAAATCTCTGGAGAGGATTTTGAGTGTAGCATTTTGCAATGTGTAAGGATTTCTTTGCAAAATAACAATCCATCAGAGTGAGACCAGGATCGATAGGAGTGGCAGCAGGGGGAAAAGCAAAAAGCCCAGTGATGAGCTCAGCCTGGACACTTTGCCATCCAATGACATCAACACTGGAGCATCATCATGAAACCCTCAACATGGCAACCCCCCCCCCCCTTCTCCCCAAACAACCGGCAAATTAAAGAACGCCCAGCAGGAGGCATTAAATATGTCCAACATGAAGGAAACAGAAAAGATCTGAGGCAAACTTTTCACTCTGTCAAGTATAAATTTAAAGTCACGAACACCCAAAATAATAGCAACAGAAGGGAGGAAAAATTCACTCTTTTGTTGACGGAATAGGTTTATGAGCAGAAGCACCATAACTTCCATTTAGATGGTGCTCAGCTTTTGGTAAACAGCTCAAACGGCAAACGTCCTAACTGTATTAAACTTTGCACGGTGCACTTTCTCTCCTCTGTGCTGATGGTAAGCAGCCGTAAACGCCTGTGTGATATGAGTGTGTCGGTGTGCTGAGTGTGCCGGATCTTTGTTGTCGCGCAGCCATACAGATGTACCTGTGCAACAGGGAGCGCTACGGTTACCTCAACGTTCCAGCCAAACCTCATCACACGCTGGAGGATGACCGCCTCAACTTTGTCCACGTCTATCTGGACTCCATGAGTAAGAACGCACTCGCTCACGCCACGGTTGCTGCGCACGCGGATCCGTGCTGTTTCCACTAACTCATCTCTCCCTTTGCTCTAAAGTTGACGGTCCCCCCATGTCTCCCTCTCGATTCACTCACATGTTCCCGAAACAGAGAGATCTCATGGGATTTGATGAGGTGCGAGTCTCCATTGACTTCAGAACTCTTTTAAGAAATACTGTGCTTTAGGTTTTTCTACCTGCCGAGGAAATAAAATCAACCTTTTGGGGAACTGCGTGTCTTTTCAGATATATCTGATCAATCTGCGGCGCAGGACTGACCGCAGAGACAGGATGCTGTCCTCCCTGAATGAGCTGGAAATTGATGTCAAGGTGGTCGCTGCCGTGGATGGAAAGTAAGGTTCCCCCCCAAACGCGCCAGTCTGTATTAAAACTTACAGGGGAAAGGGGGAAATGTCTCCTAGAGAAGGACAAAAGCAGCATTGCCAAAACTGCCGATAATCAGATGGAATGGAGATAAGAACATTGTTAAACAGCAGCTGGGCGACGCGGGGGTTTGGTGGTCAGCACCATCGCCTCACAGCAAGATGGTTGTGGGTTTGAGTCCCTGGGGGACCCAGGACCTTTCTGTGTGGAGTGTGCATGAACTCCCTGTGTCTGCGTGGGTTCTCTGCCATGGACTGGCAGACCGTACCCCGCCTCTATCCCACTGACCACTGGGATAGGCGCCAGTCCTCCCCCCTCCGACCCCATTATGGAATAAGCGGTTACGATATTGGATGGATGGATGGTTAAACAGCAGCTAACGTTTATTTATTTTGTCTTAGTCACACCATTGAGTTGCAACATAGACAGATCTTCGACCACCTAAAGGCATTGATTTTAGTCTTGTGCGATACACATTTCCCCCTCGTTTCTCAAGTGTGTTTGTGTGTGTGTGTGTGTGTTTGCAGTGCTCTGAACAGCAGCGACATTAAGATCCTGGGTGTTGACCTGCTGCCGGGCTACTACGACCCATTCTCCGGACGCACCCTCACTAAAGGGGAGGTGGGCTGCTTCCTCAGCCACTATTACATTTGGAAGGAGGTGAGAGAAAAAGGCCGGGGGGGGGGGCGGTGTTGCCATTACTCCAAAGAGACCCGCTGCCCTTCCAGTTGATCACAGAACAAAAGTTAGCGTTTGCATGTGGTTGCAAAGTTTGACGAGGAGGCATGCTAGCTATAAAAAATCGAATTCCCATATGGACGTGAATCCAGAGAGAAAAGCGGCTCTTAAGCGGCGTTTTCCTCGACGGCGGCTGTCTGTGGGGTGTGTCAGTGCTGTCCCTGTGTTGTCAGATGGTGGACACCCAGATGGACAAAGCCCTGATCTTCGAAGACGACGTTCGCTTCCAGGCCAACTTCAAGCGGCGCGTGCTGAGGCTGTTGGAGGAGGTGGAGCAGGTGGAGTTGGACTGGGACATCATGTGAGACTCTCCTTACTGTCACGCTCTCTTGTTCAGACGCATGTCACAGACTCCAGATCCTTCTAATTGTGAATAATCCTCCCGGTTTTTGCAGGCAGATGCAACTATCCCAGAAAATAAACCCACATGGTTTTAATTCAGATCATACCAAAAGGATTAGATCCAACTTTTAGACACACGATCAAAGCTTGAAGAGCAGGCAGATGGGATTCTGCAAGAATTGTTTCTGTGTGTTGTTTAGACAAATGAATAATAGAAGCAAAAAACAAACAAAAAAAAGATGGAGATTTTACTCCACATGTTTGGCTTTTCTCAAAATCCTCTCTACTGTGTTTCTTTTAAACTCCCCCTCTCTTTATTTGTCCCCCTTGTGTCATGCAGATACTTTGGCAGGAAGCAGGTGAACCCTGGAGATGAGGAGGCGGTGGAAGACGTTCAGAACCTGGTGGTCGCCGGCTACTCGTACTGGACTCTGTCCTACGCCATCTCCCAGCAGGGAGCCCAAAAGCTGCTCAATGCCGAGCCGCTCTCCAAGATGCTGCCCGTCGACGAGTTCCTCCCCATCATGTATGACAGACATCCAAAGTATGTATGGCAACACAGGTAGAAGTCCGCCCACAGTCAGGTTCTGGTTTTTCTGTTGTCACGTCTGTTGGTGAAGATATTTGAAATCTCCCTCAAAGGAAAGGGCCATAAAAAAATTAATTAAATAAATAAATAAATTAAATAAATTAAGTATAGACTATGATTTTGTCGAGACGTTCTTTTATGTGGAATACATGTCTACCTAAATTAGACATTTCTAAATCGATCTTTACATTTCCATTCTTTGAATTTAGAGGCATCGCAGCAGCTAAATAATTCAGAATCAGATTTTTTTATGTGAAGAGTGTGAGCTTTGGGCCATTAGACCTGAATAACTAAAAGGTGTTTGGATTTTATTGCAGATTCCATGAAAATCCTCTTCTTTTCTCAGCATGAGAAAAACGCAGCTTTTTGGGTTGAATGATCGATACATTGTTCTCAAGGCGGATGTTGTGTATTCTATTGTGCGAGTTGTTTGTATTCCTGTACACACAGAACTTAAATGTTTCTGTAGTAGAACAGGAAGCTTTGGTTCAGATATTATTCACAGAGTGTTTAATCTATCGGTTCGATGTTTTCTGCAAACTGAACTCGGTGCCGTTGTGCGTGTGGTTTTAGTTTGTTTGGGGAGATATTCAGAACAGATGGGTTTTATAAAGTATTGGACACATTTACTAAAGCCAACTTCGATGATGTGGGCCCAGACCAGTAAACGGTTCCATACCCAGACGCTGAGCGCCAGACTCCAAATGCATCTTGTGCTCCATCATGTGTGGAAAACTGGCTTAAAGCCAAACCCACTTTCTCTCCGCTCCATCCCTCTGGCCCACCTCTGTGGTTCTAATTTGATATGCTTGACTGCCCTGCTAAGAATGCCCAACGACTTGGGCCCGCAAACGGCTCCTTCTGTCGCCCTTCAGGCTCAGGGCAACTCAAACCGGCCACGCTGCCTCCACGTCCTGCCGGATGATTCAGAATCCATCAGCGGATCTCAGAATTTAACATCCTAATGCACAGGCGTAGAACAGAGTCCTGCTGTGCTGTTTTTTGGTTTTTTAAAGCAGATGTTAAAGCATCTCTGTGCTCTCCCTCTGCAGCGAGGACTACAAGTCCCACTTCCCCAACAGGAACCTGAAAGCCTTCAGCGTGCGCCCCCTGCTGGTGCAGCCCTGCCACTACGCCGGGGACCCGCAGTGGGTGAGCGATACAGAGACTTCCACTCTGTGGGACGACGACTCGGTCAAGACCGACTGGAGGGGCTCCCACAAAACCCTGAAAGGGGGCGCGCCGGCCCCGGAGATGCTGTCGGCCGCCTACAGGGACGAACTCTGAGGAGGCGCGGGCGGAGGCGCCGAGGACCCCCACGAAAGGTACGAAAGACCATGAGGACAGAGGAGCGGAGGCCGAGAGGAGAACGCGGACCCGCCCCTCCTCCCGTCATGGCACTGACTCGCTCGGCGTCTTTAAACTGTGTGTGTTTTCAGACACAAAACTGAGCATCTCAAATCAGCAAAATTGCACAGGAGATTTTATTTTACTTTTTCCCTCAAACGGTTGTGAATGTTTCCTACTTTAGTTAAGAAATCTAGTTTAGTCACCTCACCTCTGTGGGACTGATGTCTGGATGGTTTATTTTTTTATTGCCTGCGTTAGTGTGATCATTGCATGTTTGTCATGCTGACCACAACGTTAATCCGTCTGAGTAACTGTGAGGCTTTTTCAGCTGCACTGTTCACAGGTCCCATGTTGAAGAGACCCTCTTCTCTCTCTTTTCCACGTGGGCGTACTTGTGTGTCTTATTACTCTGTTCGTGCATGTATCCCTTTGATACTTTTAAATACAACCATAACTAACTCAGAGCTTTATTTTCTATAAGAGAGTGTGCCTTTGCTGTTAACGGTCGGAAAGGTTAACTGCCTTTTAACAGGATGGTGCCTTTTTACATTCAGAATCTCTCTCCTTCTTTTTCTTCTTTGCATCTCTCTAAAACCCTGAATGTTTACATATATTTTTCTAAAATGGTGAATGATAGATTAACTGTCTAGCCTCTGCTTGTGTCTGTTAGGACCAAAAGAAGCTCATTCTTAAATGTGGGTATGGATGAAACTGGTCCTTTATATGCAGTGATTATATATAATATGATTTAACTTTCTGAGGAGGAACGCCTTAAGTATTCTTTGTGTTTCTTAAATCTTCTGGACCTAAGTCTTACAGAAGCTTTCTTTTATTAGTTCGGCATTAATGTGTAGCAACATTCCTGAATGAAAGCGAGGGGCAGTGGATAAAATGGCAGGATGTGTTTTTGTTCCTAAGCACAACGATTTAGCAAATGCGTTCAACATGTAAACGTTTCAGTGAGGTCATTTTTTTGTCGGACCGGGACATTAAGCCAGCCTTGCTTTGTCGTAACTGCTGCTGCTCTAATTCCCTTCATACAACAAGTCACAGTGAACGCGCCTCACTAAACTCTTCCATTCATTTTCATTTTCAACATGTCTTATGGCCTGTTCTCGTCTGCTATTTTCTGATTCCTTCTCTTGCATGAGTCTTTATTTATTGAGCCTATGATGGCAGCCTTCCTGATGAATCCCATCATAGCAGCCTATTAAGGTGCGATGAGTTGATTTGCTTCTGGGTCTTTAAGTATTTTCTTTTTTATTAAACGGACTGTAAGGGCAACTTGAAGGCGATTAATGGAAATATGAATAAAAATAGATTGAACTCTTAAATTGGTTGTCTCCTTTACTCCCCAAATTGCCTCCCACGCTGAAGTGACAAAGATCGACCACCAGATGGTATCATTTATGAGTGTGAAACCAGCTGAGCTGGCATAGTTCTGGTATCAAAGGAAACTTCGAATGTCCAGTTTGTGCATTCTGCAGCTGTCTAGATTCCCTAATCTTGATTTTAAAATGCATTTTGATAAGATCTGTACTCACCATTGTCCCAGTTTACCAACATTTGCAGGGGAGGGGTGGCTTCTCTGTCACCAAGGGAACACATTATGAAGAAATCCCTTTTTTTTTTGCTTGGGAGTGAACTTTTGGGGGTGTCTAAAGTCAATAAGTTAATACACTTTTATCTTATCAATGGCTTGGCTATTTATTAAAAACCTCCAACGTAGGTCCGCACATTGTTATTAGCGATAACAAGTGTGTACCATGTCCCGTGTTGTTCTGGTGTCAAAGTCTCCCAAAAGCCCTGAAACCTCCACATAGACATGATATGCTCTTTATTTAATGAGATAGTTCTATCTTTTTACCTTAAAATGTTCCAGAATTCTGTTCTAAAGTGTGTTCATTTTCTATGATATGTTAATTATCATTAATTAAAATGAAATGTTCTTGGTGCAACTTTGGGTTCTCTGTTTAGCTCAGAAAATTTCAAGACTGACTCGGAGATACCAAAGGTTGAAGCAAGACGTCATTATGGTATGTAGTTACAGTTATCAGGAGTTATCAGTCACACAATCCAAAATAGATTTTTGAATCAGAGGTTTAGCAGCAACATATCTGGAAGAAAGTGTTTTAAATTCAATTTTTCATTATAGTTTAAAAACCTTGTGGGCAGGGTAAAGTTAGTTTGCGATACGATAATCCACTATGTGTTTGGTTTTACTTGCTCTGGTTACACACAAACAATCTGACACAGTGACAGGGTCGATAAGTACAGACCTCTGAGCAGGACACACAGCTGTCTACACACACCGAAACGTGACGGGTTTATGCCACCAGGAGCATCATGCCACAGACAAATGAACACAAAACTGAACGTAAGGTCACACACTATAGAAGCATCAACTTTAAAATCTGGGAGCTTACACAAGCACACACAGGCACGCCAACATCTGCCCACATGAATGCTGTGCTTAAGAAACTGTTACTCAACCCCATAAAAAGGCCAACAGTGTACAAAGGTTGCTGAAGTCAGCTTTCTCAGTTTCCAACACAAAGTAGAACACAGAGCCGTACGTAAGGCCGAGTTACAGGCGTAAGCCTCCATATTCAGCTTCTGTCCAGCTCAAAGCTGTATGAACTAGACAGAGCCCCCCCCCTACCCTACCCCCCTCACAGGAGGGGACCTCTACTCTGCCTCTGATTGGCTGTTGAGTAGGAGGTGTGGACTTGGCAAGCAAAGGAGCTTCCCATGATAGCAAGCTGCAGAGAGTAGGGTTACATATCTGGAGTTTCCATAGCTCTCCTCTGGCCTCTCCTCCCCTACCGGGGTCGCATGTTTACGTTCAGTGCCTCACACACAGCAAAAACCCACACACGCATGATGTGATTTCACTTCTGCTTGCTTTGATTTCTGGACCTCAGGGGGGGTGAGGTTGCAGCTGCTACCCTGACATCCCCCCCCCAACATACATACAAATCCAACAGCCAGCATCTTCTCAGAGGGGTGGCGTGTCTGCCACAGGAGCAATAAAATGCTTTTACTTCTGTCGCCAACACTTTTGTTTTAGCTCGTTAACTCCTAATTCTCTTTATTGTTTTCTCTCAGATGGCTGGAATTGAAAACTCATTATCCCCAGCTTGACAGAAAGCCATCGATTTCCAGCTAAAGTCTGTGTGGTTTGATAAACACAACAGGATGTTCCAGACCCATACATTTATGATTTGAGTCTGCTTCAGTTGGTAGTGTGCAGCAGTCCAACTGGGCTGATCTCCTGGAGGAAGCCAGCCCTCTGTCCACGTTTAGGGCTACGTGTGCAGCAGCATCAACAGGACTGGGCAGATCTGGCTGTGAGCGTGCAGGGGAGGGAGAGGTGAAGGCTGGAACTACAGCTGCAGCTCTCACTGTCAGACAGCTGGAGCTCCCGGCCACACCGGAGGCTCTGCCTCTCTTTGCTCTGAACAAACTATTAGGCTTCTCCCCCCCTATCCCACCACCACCACCCAACCCCCTCCTCACACATCAGAGCCATTCCTTCTGCAAAGCGATTTTTTAAATAACTTTTTCTCCAGTTTACGTCTTGCATCGAGCGGTTTCCGGAACCGTGCAGCGGAATCCTGCGTAAGTTTACACGTGGACTCCAAACTCATCGCATGCAACAAAGCGCACATGTGATGCTTCTGGCTGCTTTGGTAACGGTTCGTACTCTCCGATTGGGAGCGTGAGGTCGCACAAGGCGCCTTCAGCTTCGTTTCTTCCTGCAAAAGCCAAGCATAGATTGTTGTTGTTGTTGTTTTCTTCTCGGTCCCGCTCGATCGCGTCCAGACTCTGGAGCTGTGCGCCACGACGCTGGTTTAGTGTGTGCACGCTGGCAAGTTTCCTTCCTCAGCAGTAAAGAATTAACCAGGTCACACAATCGAGGATTACATAAGTTGGAACTTAACTTTTCCGTTTATCGCCACTGTTTGTTTTTTTTATCTTGCAAATTTGCCTTTTAAACGTCTTTTTCTAAGCGTGTCGGTGGTTGTGCAACCTATGTTTTTCCTCTCTCATGTAGGCTACCTGACGTTCTACTGGAACTGCCCCGTTCAGGGCCCCCGGTTCTGGCTTGACTTTCAACCCTGTGCTTAGATGTGCTTCCCCCGTTATTTTTCCTTTTCTGAGCACAGAGCTGACCGTTATTGACTCTGGAGCGGAATTCCACCGTGTGCGGAGTTCAGCTCTCTGTGCAGGAATTCAGCTCTCCTGGTCACTTTTGGAAGTTTAGATTTTAGTCAGCTGCAACAGCAAAGTGGATTGGAGTCACATGGCTTAGATAACTCTCTCCAGCTGATGTACATAACTTTCCAAATAGTTTCCCTGTATACCGCAGAGTACTGTCGCTAAAATGTCAGTGTTCAAAGGCATAGCACCTCTTTATTCTTCACATTTCTTCACAGGGGGACAAAACCGTTATCGTTTTTCCAGCAAAACTAAAACTTTGTAAAATATTTCATGCAGTGTATAATAGGAACTCATCACATAAAACCTTGCACGCCCTCCATTATTGTTATTTGAACTGTAGTTTTCTTTATCACGCATTTATTTGATTTAGGACTTAAATCTTTAATGTGTTCCTTCAGATCCAGGTTTAGATACTTACCTTTTTTTCCTATAATCTGATGGTTATGATGCCAGTCACCTCGTGCTGACTGGAACCGTTTGCTGCCTTCCTTTGATAAGCTTTTAGATGCTCTGGGTTATCTAACGTGCTCAATTTATGGTCTGTCTGAACATCTTTTGAAATGTCCTATTTTCTTGCTTTACAAGACGGTTATAGATGGAGTGGAATAAACGTATCTTGCATCTGACCTAATAATGTGCTCTCCATAACCATCAAGCTTTCTTTTGCTGCTAAGACAGTTGAAGCTTTTCATTGAGGATCTTAAGGAGGCCTCTCCTCAGACTCTGTCTGTAAAGTGTGGTTTTGCAGTGTCCTTCACTGTTACATGAACTCCTTGTTCTTTACAGATAGCACTGGGTCCTCAGTAAGCCAGCAACTGTTCCTCTGATTAGTTTTTTACCCCATAGTTACTGTCACAATTGGTTTTCTACTGGTTAAAACATGTATTCACTATTTCCTGGTCACATGTATTTTACTATTCTTATCCATCTTGATCATATCTCACAAACTGATTTATCAACACTTAGTCAATTATTTCTCTGTGAAGCCAATTGCAGATCACAATTTTGCTTCAGTGATCACAGACAGATGAAAAATTTCTATAGTTATTAGTTTTACTATCATTATTTTGGGAAGTTGCTCCATTGAAATCTGACATATTCCTTTTTTTAAATAGTGAGCCTCGACATTGTGAGGTGTTTTTCTGATGTTTCAAGGTGTATTGGTGAATGGGAATCCTCCTTTGAGAGCACTTCAATTACAAAACAAAACACAAATTCGATATCTGCTCAAGTTGCACACAAGGTGTTCCTTGGAGTATTCAGAGATTAGTGGAGTATGACAACGCAGACAAAACAAGGAGACACAGAATTAATAGCAACGGTTGTGTCATCTGTCATGTTATTCATGTTTAGAGGAAAAGAAACAAATAATGTTGTGTCAGCAAGCTGTTGTAGATAATGAGCTTTTATTATTGGCATATCATTGTTTTATTTGACATTCACGTGATGCTGCTGCTGTGTGACCCAGCCCTCTGTGTCCTCCTGGCTGTCCACAGCTGCCATGGCCTTCCTTGGGAGCGCGGTGCGTCGGATGGTGTCGGCAGTGCGGCCTCCTCTCTCCCCTCTGTGCCAGATAAATGCACGCTCCTACAGCTCGGAACACACCAAAGAAAAGAACGTTCCTTATGAGAAAACGCTGAAACAGGAGGACAGTGTCACGTCTGGACCCACAAAGCCGTTGCCCAGGTTAGCATCACGGATGGATGGGCCTTTGTGCTCATCGTCACAAAACCTCAGTCTCTGTAAAAGTTTAAAGTAGATTTTTTTTTGTCTTACTTTTAATTTGTTACATTTGGTTAGTACTTGTGAAAATATCTTTTACGTTGCTGGTTTAAGTGATTTGTTAATGACTGTAAAATTAGATAAATAAATATCGTCATAAATCAAGTGATTTTCCCAATGATGTAAAATGCTCTGTTGGTCATTGCTGCTATTTGATCCTTTTACCCTGACCTTGTGACAAAAAGGATAACGCTTCATTCCCTAAATTCCAAGCATCTCCTCTCAGAAAATAAAGACCGCTTTTGTCACTGTCTCGGTACAAAGTATTACTCCTCTGTGCGGCGTTGTCCTTCTCCCGCTTTGAAAGTTGTCGCCTGGGTTCACGTAGAGCGCGCTCCCCACTGCCACAGGTCAGCTGATGTGGTGGTCATCGGAGGAGGCAGCCTGGGCTGTCAGACCATCTACCACCTGGCCAAAATGGGGGTGACCAACGTGGTTCTGCTGGAGAGAGACAGACTGACAGCTGGCACCACCTGGCACACTGCAGGTAACAAGCTGCCGGAGCGAAAAGTGAATTAGTTTGACTTTAAACACGCTGAAATGGTTACGTGACCACATGGCGAAGATGATAATTGCACGTACGGTCGCGCTCTTTTGTAGATTTACTGTGTGGCCCTCTGTTGAATAGGTCTGCTGTGGCAGCTCCGTCCCAGTGATGTTGAGGTGGAACTCTTGGCCCATACCAGGAACGTGATTAGCAAGGACCTGGAGGAGGAGACGGGCCTCCACACTGGCTGGATACAGAACGGAGGACTCTTCATTGCTTCCAACAAGCAGAGGCTGGACGAGTACAAGCGCCTAATGTCGGTAAGGACGGTGGCGTCCTTAGAATGAAAGGGTGACTCTACAGTCAGGTGGTGCCTTAACTTGAAAGGTTGGGCTTTCCACTGATGCTGAACGCCAGGCCAAACTTTTCATCCTCTCCGTTTCAAAGCCGCAATATAAACGAGGCTCTTGTAGAGAGGGATTTTTCCAGCACAGTCATATGAGAACTAATTGATTAAGGGTGTGGCTAAATGCCAACGGAAATGTCACAAATTTAGTTTCAGCATCAAACAGGGCTCAGTTTTAAAATGTCTTTACCTGACACAGTATGCAGTTAGCTTGAAAATGTGGAAAAAAAGGCATGGTATATTTTCAAAGTGATGATATTTAATCTAAATGAAAACGTATCAGTTACAGACAGTTATTGTTACAGACAAATGATAATCAAATAATCAAATGATGAAAAGGGATGTTTTTCTTGTGATGAGTGTGATGCCAATGCTTTTAAGAAAATAATTCTATAGCATTGAAACAAAATAAGCAAGATTTCTTCTAGAAAATATTATATGCTTTCTGTGTAAAATAGTTTAGCTGTCAAATTGTATTCAGCTACCATCATGGATGGTGTTAAGAATTTGTGTTTGTGTTAGCAGTTGCAATAATAAGCTGTGTTCATGTTTGATACTTTCGAGTTCATCCACTGATTTACATGTCTCTTTTTTGTGTTTTAGCTGGGTAAAGTTTATGGTATTGAGTCTTATGTCCTGTCCCCGGCTGAGACCAAGGACCTGTACCCACTGATGAACGTTGATGATCTGTACGGAACGCTGTACGTTCCCAAAGACGGCACCATGGACCCTGCAGGCACCTGCACCACCCTGAGCAGAGCTGCCTCTGCCAGGGGTGCCACGGTAACGCCAACTGCTCCTTTTTCTTTGCCCTTCGCTCAGCTTGGGCGCCGTGGCTTAATTATACATTACTTAAGCTGATTAGAGACCTCAGACGAGTATTCATGCTATGCGAGATCCCAGTTTGAAAATGAAAAATGAAACGGACAGACAAACTGTAGAAGGGCCTCTATGTCCCAGATTCTCTTAACAATGTTAGTTTTTTTTAGAATGCACCACATCAGGAGTTTTGATTAACTGACCAACAAAAACCTTTCTCCTCCCTAATTTTTCATAACTCTTAACAATTTTACCTGCGCATATCAGGTGATCGAGAACTGTCCAGTGACTGGAATTCAAGTGCGGACGGACGATCTTGGGGTCAAGAAGGTGAAGGCCGTAGAGACGTCCCACGGGACCATTGAAACACCATGTGTGGTGAACTGTGCAGGTAAGGTTAAGGCGGTATTAGCTACTTAACGTGTAAATTCTCTTTTTGGAAACCAGTTTGAAGCAACTCTGGACTGTCGGAGGCTTCATGTTCCCTTCAAAGGAAGCTATTAGGAGTAATTTGAACGAAATTGCCTTCAGATAAATAAATAATTCAGTTTCTTGTTGCATGCAGGTGTGTGGGCCACCAAGCTGGGGGAAATGGCTGGAGTCAAGGTTCCTCTTATTGCTATGCATCATGCCTATGTCGTGACTGAGAGGATTGAAGGCATACAGGTAGAACTGCTATCTGCCGAGTCTGCGTTATTTAATTTAATTTGCCGGAAGGGGGGTTTACACCTGCGGAGCACACCACACCCTCTTTCCAAATTTACACACACAAAATAGTTTCACTTGGGGAAAAAAAAGATAAGGATTTACCGAAGTTCCCTCAGGGAGAGCAAACCTGTTCCAGCATTTAGACACACAGTTTAATCCAAGAGCTTCTCAGGCAGCCTGCAGAACCTTGAATTATTGGCCACCTTCTGACCTTAATATTACGATTGTTTGTTATATTTAAGCATTTGCTTTCCTGTGCTGTACAGCAGTGTCTTAAAATGACTGTAAAGTTGCAAAGTGGACGAACCTGTGCCTGTTTGCACTTTTATATTTCAGCCTTTGTCGTGTTTGTAGCTTCACTCCTACTCCTCTTTCTGGATGTTTGAGGTCTAATCTAAGCTTTACACGTGCTACGTTCCACAGGTTTCGCTCTCAAAAATCCTTTTCGGCATGTGTGAAGTTTATACGGTCAACAGGGGGCAGTGTGAGCAAACAGATTTCAATGTGTGACAGCCAAGGCTGCTGTTACCCCGTGTGGGTTTGTGTTTACGTTTGTCTGTGCGGGAAAAAAATGGAGGTTAATTTGTATCTTTTATGATGTGCGCTTAAAAAGGGAGGCCTCTGTATACTCTACAACGCGCGTCTTGCGTGACCCGTAATGCGTTTCACCGTATATCCGTCTGTCAGTCTTATGTACACATCACCGGCCGTGCTCATCCCCTGGAGGCTGCTGGTTTTAGGGCAGACTGTCAGAGCCTCCCCGTGTTATGTAGCATAAGCAGAGCTTAACCAGCATTACTGCTCCGCCGTGTACAGAGACATCAGCCCACACACAAAGTGACACTCTCACCCACTCTGATGTCGTCAGTAAATCTGTTCCCACCAGAGTGTGCAAATTGTCAGGTCAAACATTTCATGCTGACCCTGTGTCTGAGTGTGACAAATAACATTTTTGTCCTGGAAGGCTGTGCTGACTTTGAGTTTAGTTGGTCCATAAAGGATGTTGCATGCTTTTTCTTGTGTGTCTATGCGAGTACATGAAGGATGCAGTGCAGGGCCGTGCTGAGTATTGATCACATAGACAAAAGCTGCCAGCCTCGACCCAGCGCTGAGGAGGGAGGAACGGAGCAGGTTGGCTTTTAAAGTTGGTCGTGAGCCGCATTTGAAATGTCAGCTTGTTCACTGGTATTTTAGTTTAGTTTTACCCGGAAAACCAATGGACATCAGAAAGAGGAGCCCTCGTGACTGTGTGACTTAAAGGCGGCTCCCTTAAAGAATAGCTTCCTTTTAAAGCCATCTACAAAAACATGTAGACAGAAGCAGAGGATGAGGCACACGATCGGCTGTGTTTTTTTTTTTATTGTTTGTGTTGTCAGGATATTTTGGTATGTCTACAAATGCTGTGCAGCATATTAAAAATGTATGTCCCAATGGTTATGTCCCATAATGTATTTCCTCCCTGTATAAAACACCAAAGGTATAAACTGTAGTATAAACTGCCCAAATTATTTCCTTTTTTGTATTCTTGTTTTCTTACTTCCTTTTTTATTTTATTTTTTTTAACTTTAATGTTGTAAATGGAAGAAACACTACAATTAAGTGTTTATTTTCCGATTAATACCAAATGTGCTTACGGGGCTCCTCTGCTTTGACCATCACTTTTTGCAGAACATGCCAAACGTCAGGGACCACGATGCGTCGGTGTACCTGCGCCTCCAGGGTGACGCTCTTTCTGTGGGCGGATATGAACAAAACCCCATCTTCTGGGAGGAGGTAGGACAGAATACGATCTGGTGATAACGGTCTATGTCAGCAGCTCTGGTACTCCGGTACAGAAGAAGAGCCGAATGGCATTATGTCAGTAATTGTGCATGATGAAGAACCAGAACACACTTCAACCTTGCACCCTCATAACCCTATCTTTATTTGACCTGATCCAACTGACTGAACATATCGTTGCCATATCTGAATTATTATAAAAACTTGATTCTGTTTGTTAACGCAGACACATTTCTACATTGATGCTTACTATATTTATGGACTCAGTGTTTATACAGTGATTCATTTTTTTTGGAGCAATCTGGTGTTCATTGTCTTCATAAAAGAGACTTGGGCAAAACTAACCCCTGAACACACATGGAGACGATGGAGATCGAACTGCCAACAGCATATATCCAGAAACTGTTAACATTTTACAGTCAATTTCAACACGACTCGAGCCTGTCCAGCTGCAGTCAGGTTAATGGACAGGCAGCACAAAGCGGCCATAGATTGATTTGACTTGTGCTCAGCATTGCTGAATAAGAAGATAGCCGTGCTGTTCAAGCTTTCCACCTTCATGCTTTTAGCTCCAGCACTGAGCTTCTTTTCCGCATCATCAATGCCAAGAGAATGACAAAGCACTTTAGGAGTATTTCAGCTGCCCTTCAAGCATCTGCACTCTTTTACCGTTTCAGAGCATGTAAATGCGCCCGTTCATCATGGTTTTCTTTCACGCGGGAAGGCTTGAAATGAATTTTTCTGTCAAAACCAAAACCACTTATGGTCACAGGAAGCGAGACGTATTTTTTTCTCGATTTTATATGAAATATGTTGGTACTGTCATGCAGTAAACCTCTCAGAACATCGTACTGCTCAGCTCTTTAAGAGTCATTTTAAGCTGCTTCTGAGCTGGTTTAGCATGGTAAAGTAAGTTATTGGTATAATGACATGAATGGAAAAAAGATGTGCCCTTAAAATACTTCTATTATACATCTTGCTGTTTCAAAAGCCGTCATGCCCAATTTTGTTTCACTCTCATAGAATAGTGATTTTTTAATTGTGTGAAAATGAATGGATTTTTGTTAAGAAAGCGTTTTGTCACTGCTTTGTTAAAAAGGTCAGTTTGAACTCACCTTTAAAGGTAAAGTGTTTTAAATTTGTGGGACTTTGCGTTATACTGCAGTTTTTTTTTATCAAAAAGTGTTTTTGCGTTTGCTCCTTCAGTTCCATGCTAAAGAAGCCAACACCGGTTTTGTTGAACCGTTCTGTCACATGTCTGTCACACTGCTTGTAGATAAACTCGCCCCCTTTTGTGCTGTAAAGAAGTGAGGAGAGGTCACGTTTAACTGCTTGTAGTAATACTGGTAGAACACTAAAAGGTATGCAGCCAATGGTTTGTCAGCTTCTTTTTAATTGAAATGGCACATCAGTGGCTTTATTAGATTATCTTCTTTATATTATTTGATTGATTATATGCTTATTGTCTTAAAATTAATTTGATTAATTACTCCAAATAAAGAAAAGATGAGGCAAACTACTCACTTTATTGATGGCCCTTCTGGGAAAGTTGAAGCTAGTTTGTGTTACTGAAGCAAAAGAAAACCAATAATACATTTATTATTCACACTGTGTCATTGGTAAGGTGTTTGGGAAGAGCTTTGAATATTATTGTTATCCTAACAAGGAAAGTTGCAAGGCATGACAGTGTTTCCAGCTACCCTGAACCTATAACACGCCGTATTACTGCATCTCGAGATATTTCACGTCAAGTACACAGACTGACAAGCATAAGACAAGCCTCAAACGGGATAAAGTCATTTTATTCTAATGAGCTATTCTTTCAGGAACGCCCGCCACAAACTTCACACTCTAAGGCTCTTCACCAGAGTGTTGCAATAAAAGGCTAAATTAGAAAGCATCTGCAAAGACTAATTTAAAATGTACTTTGACAGCTGTAAAAATGTATTGTTCCTCTCAAAAGAACAAAGTCTTGCTCTTTACAGTGGAGAGGTGGGGGGTGGCTAGACTTCACTTTGGAGATGAATCTGTTGAAAGCCTTTGAACTCAAAGCTTGTCTTATACACTCTCATTAACCCATGCAAAATGTGTGTATATCTATATCAATATATATATCTATATATATTTATGTATTTTATATAACTTTAGAATTTAACAGTTTTCTCTTAGAATTTTACATGAACTCTTTTTGTTATTTTCTTATTATCATTATTATTGTTTGAGTCCCAGGCCTCAGTGGTATTTTGCTGCTTGCCTTACCTTTTACATTTGCCAGTCTACAAACTCCTCAGAGGTTTTACATTTTAGAAGATTTCTTTGTGCAAAGGCAGCCACTTTTGTTCCCGTTCTGTAACTTAGCATTGCTTTGATGTATTAAAGCGAACAGAGAAAGGCAGAGGATATACAGAAATAAGAATTAGCAGAGAGACGGGGAGAAAAAGATGCAGACTGAGTGGTGAAGAGCAGGATCGATGGCTTGGGTTGGGATTGAGAAAACTGTTTGTATGTGTGTACAAACAATGCCGCTCCTAAGATACTCCGGTAGAATTTCATTGTCTGCTTATAATGCCTCCTCACACAAAAGCAGCTCTAGTCGACTCACGCAATCATGAGGCATTCAAGTCGTATTAAAGACCGAAAATGTGCTTACCAATTATAAAAGGAAGACTGACGGAATTTTAATGGAAGAATCGCTTACTTTTTAAAGGAATTTGGAATTTCTTTTAATGCCAGATAAAATATGATGTTGAAAAGGACAAATATTTGACTGACAACATAACTGCAGAGTACCAACTGAGTGTTTTTTTAACACGCCCTGAGTCACCAAGATTGGTACGGGAGGGGAGGTTTTTAAGGCATGTAAAAGTCTGCATTTAGGTATGACTGAGAAACACGCTGTAGCATGAGTCCAGTTCAGAGACTGGACAAAGTTTAAAGACAAACTTTTCATATTTCAAAGTTGTCTCTCTGTGGAGAAAGATAATACATTAATATCACGTGGTATCTGGTAGCTGCAATGTGCACCTCAGGTGCACATTTGTGTGTTTTCCAGTCACACATAGTCTGCTAAAGTCACAGTGGTGTTTTCAGCAAATTGTAAGAGTAAGAGGAAAACTACATATTTTTTTTTATTCACTTTATTCAACTCTAGAACGATCCGGTCTGAAAGGAAAATACAAAGCACAGAAATGCCCACTGTGCTAAATTTTTCCTTTTGAATTTTTCTCATTCGATGGGCTCACTGGTCACGAAGAACATTGTGTTCTTTAAACAGAAATATCTGCTGGTGGTTGTCGGGCGTGTACAAATCACATGTTTTTCTGTTTCCCAGGTGTCGGATAAGTTTGCCTTCAGCCTGTTTGACCTGGATTGGGATGTTTTCATGCAACACATTGAGGGGGCAATCAATAGAGTTCCTGTTCTAGAACAAACTGGAATCAAGTCAACTGTCTGCGGACCAGGTATACAAACACACGTGTGCACCACTGCGTTTCAGTCTCTGTATGAGAGGTGTTAGATTTGCTGTGACGATTTAATAAAATAAGCCCTACTTAACCTATCCTAAGTATCTCTTAATCTGTTAGACAAATCTGCATTCATTAAAAAGCTTAATAAGATTTACTGACTTTAATTCAGGATTATTGTTTCCTGAACAGAAAATCTATTTATCCTTTTTTGAAACTTTGATAACTCTGATGTTCAGTTAAAAATGCAAAGGATTTGTTTTCAGTTTATTTTGTCTTGGGCATCATCAGTGAAGTGCGTGACTTGGAAGCCTTAGTTTACCTCTCACAAGGTGGACAGCTTCTGTCGTTGTCCTAGTCAGAAGAAAAATGACACGGACAACAAATCTGTTCATCATTTAGGTGAACAGTTTAAGTCAAGAAAAAAAATTTGTGAAAAGAGTTGTGGCTGCCAGGGACCTTCTTGTTTTTCACAATAATTTATTGTTTCTCTATTGTTGATAACAACCTTCATGATAATTTGAATTCTCCTCTACAAACCACTGTATAAATTATACTCTGAGCTGTCTGGTTTAATGACACCCAGGCTGCTGTGGTGTGGCCGTCTCCAGAAAATGGTTGAACGTGATGCCATGCACCCTGACAACTGTCAATTCATGGATCTTTCTATAGTCTGGAGTTTAATACCTCCTGTACAATATTGCAAATTTTGCATAAATAAACGATGCAAGCTAAGTTAAAGGCTGTTAGTTGATCATTTGATTTATCATTTGCTTGTTGTTAGAACTGTTTCCAGTGATTATCAGGACTGGACTGCCATTACCTTAACCAGATATTATTCCAGACTTACTCTGCTGGCGTCCTTGTTCAATCTGATCCCACCTGCATAATCAACATAATGGTCTCAAGTGGAAAAAACTAAGTCCATACATGCTACTATTCCATTCGGCACTTGCAAACTATGTTTTCTTTTCTTCTTTTGTGTGTCCTAGCTGGCAGTTTGAAGCTGTCTTTGCGGTGCTTTAGTGTTTTTTGAGCTACTGGTGATTAGTGGACTGGGAAAGAAATGCTTCTTATCGCCTTCTGGTTCCTCATCTTTAGCATCAAAAACATGAGTGCACAGCAGCAGCTCCACAAAGGCATTGGCCATAGAGAAAAGGCCCGTCCTGTAAATTCATGGTAGCGTTATGCATTACAGCCAAAGATCGTGACTCTTCCCAGACTCTAATTTGAAAGGGAAATGTGTCTGTCTGTCAAATCTTATTTACTTTCCTCAGATTGAATTCTCATGAATACCTAACTACCAGGCTGTGCGTCATGTTCGTGAAGGAGATGTTTTGATTAGCTGGAGCCTGACTTTCTGTTCAGGCAGAATCTTGTTTCCTAGCTGGTTGAGTGAACTGGTCTGTAGCTGAACTGAATCGTTTTGGTATAGCTAAAAAGCCTTTATTATGGTAGACATGTAGTTTTACTAAGGGGTCCATAATGACTTAAAGAATATATGACTGAAATCACAAGGGAAACGTTATCAGTCTCCCTACATTTCAGTCCAAATCCATACTAACAATTGTCCGATAAATGAAAAGGCAGATTTGTCATATCCACCAACTTTGATGCCAATCAAGTTCTTTGAATGATGTTGAAGAATACCAAGAATGATACACCTCCTCCATCATAAGTCACTGTGGCTTTCATTTGCCGTCATCGTAACTTACAAAGACTCTCTGGTTTTTGGTTGCAGAGTCATTCACAGCAGACCATAAGCCGCTAATGGGAGAGGCACCAGAGGTCCGAGGCTACTTCCTGGGTTGTGGATTCAACAGTGCTGGTATGTCCTGCTTCGATTTGGGAAAGTGAAAAAGAGAGTGAAAAGACATTAAAAGATAAGAAAAGAAATTGCAAAGGGTTCTCCAGCTTGATAAGACTCATAGATGTACAGGTACAGTCCATGTACAGCTTAAAATATGCAGAGATTTCCTGTGTGATAAGTCTGGGAAATTATAACATTAGAGAGGCTCTAAGTATCTAAGATACTTAATGGCAAAATGAATTTAAGGAAAATATGGTGAGATTAACATACACAAGTTAAAGTACAAGCCCCTGACCCTCCATTACCTTACTGGCCATGTCAGACAATTGGGAACTCTTGCATCTAAGTGGTTTAATATTGAAGAAAGAGGGGCGTAAAGTAAGAGCATTAGCATTAACAGAAGTGGACATAAGAGTGGAGGTTCTTCAAAGTCTACCTCTGCGTGTGCAGACAAAAGCTTGGGAGGTGCAGTAAAATGGACACTCTATGAGTGGGCAGACATTACAGTGTTATAAACACTACCTCATGACATTTAGACCTTCTGGAAAAATAATAACTGGTCTTTGGCGGTCCTCCCCTGTTCTATTATTCTCCAGCCACTTATCATAAAATATTATGTAATCCTGGAGTCCTTTTAATGCAGGTTAGCAGCGGCCTGCACATTCAAAGCCATTTTATATCATAATGTTTATTATATTTTATATGAAAACAGTACTCGTGCAGTTATGTAATTAGAGATTTTGACCAAAAAGTCAGGCCTTTGCAAATATGAAATCACGGTAAATTCTTCGATGATGAGCCTATTGCATTTGAAAACAGGACAGACCCTTCCAAGTGGGGGTGGATGTATTTTCAAAGTGTGGCTCTCCCTCTCTTCCAGTCTCTCCTTCATCTGTCACCCCCCCTCCCCTATCACTGATTCCCCTCGGCAAGCCTTCTGTCAGTTTCACATTTACTGTCTGAGAGCTCACTTTGCTCCAGGCAGTGCAAGAGAAAGGGGATGATTCAAAAGTCCAGGGTCAAAGTGGATACTTACAGCTGTAAAAAAAAAAAGAGACGAAAAGCTAATAAAATATCTATATATTTAAGAAAAAAAATCAATTTTATAGTTTTAGTTTGAGAGTCTCAATAACTTTTTAAGCCTCCTCGCTTCTTGGAGTTAATTTTGGTGTCAGACAGTTATATTTGTTGCTTGGCAACCCTGGAGTGCAGATTCTCCGAGTCAGACCTGTCATGCTGAACGCATAAACACTTAACTTACCATGCATTTGTTTTATTGTAGTCCTTTCTAGGGTTACATAATTGCTTTCAACTGCAGCACCTCTTATGCAGCAGCTTCACAATCATGCTTCGAATTTCAACAGTAAGCATGTTATGTTTCATTATGCTTAGCTGAGGCCTAACTGATTTATTCAATGGAGTACTCAGTTAGGATGGAACCTGCAGTGCACACACCAGTAAGTCCTCTTTCAGTTACACCTCTGGGTTCTCTTTGAAGGGGCTTCGTACTCCCTTGGCTTTTCAAACAGAAATTGAAGGCATTGCCCTCATGTGTTGTTTGACATATTAACTTGTCAAGAGGCTTTGATTGTATCTGCATTAGATCCATGCACTACCAGTCTCTCCTTTCACAACGAGAAAACTGTGGTTAGTGGATGTCATTCCTGCTCATAGTCCTCACAGTGAGATGTATCAGAGGAGAAAAAAGACCCTAAATTGAAGTGACACCAAAAACACCATAAAGGGGAACTGATCTGAGGCAGATAACTGGCAGCAGTTCTACATATTGTGTTGTTGAGTCACTTAAAGGCAGCAAGCAGAATCCTTTCAATGCAACAGTTTGCCCATTTAGACCTCAATTGTCAGTATAGGAGGCATTGTAAACGTATTGTTTTAAATTAGATTACTTTGTTCTGTAGTCCGTCTAGTAAATTGAAACAGAATGTCACAAAAAAGATATTTCTGACAAAAGGAGTTAAACATTTGTGCGTCTTGATTTTAGAAAATCTTTTAAAAAGTAATTTGAAAAAAAGATAAAAAGGCTTGACAAAATTCTGATGTAGGATTAGTACAGCCTCAGATATATTATCAGAGACCTCATATCATGGCTGTAATGGCTCATTTAGCTTTTTTAGGCTCTCATTGAGAAGATTTCATATTTGTATGATAAATGTGAACGTAAACTCTTACAGTCCTGTGAGATCACAGCATGTCAGCTTCCATGTTCCTCCAAAGAGGAAGAGGGAGCACAAAGGGACTCACTAGATACACAGAGACACAAGCATTAGCGCTCACAAGCAGACGTCCACTCCGTAGTGTGATCGTCTCAAGTGACATCACTGAAACCTCACCTTGCTTCTTGTTCCCACTCTGTCCTGGCAGAGCTCCATCATTCTTCTCTTACTCTCCTCCCTTTATCTCTCTACCCCCGTAACGATCTATTTATCCATCCAGCTGGCCAGCCAGCCATTCAAATGTCCTCTCAGGCTCCGAGTGGCAGCGCCTGCAGATGAGTGAAGCTATGAGTAAGGGAGAAAGAGGGCAGACTGTGAGAGATGGAGGAATGTAAGGACTTGGTTGCTGTGCAGCTGCACGTTGATGTGCATTACATGTAAATGTGACAAATGCAGAGCCCAAGCCACACAGCAAAAGAACAGAGGGTTGCTGAGAGGCCAAAACTCATTAAGCAAGCAGTGATGGGACTTGACAGATTACAGCATTGAGTTGCCATCATCTGTTTGCTGATTGGTTAGAAAGTAGCAAAAGAAGGAGGTCATATTGCTCAGGGGCTCCTCTGAGCAAGAGTCAAATGATGGAGCAAAGGTCATGGCCAATCCTCTGTGGCTCAGATGTCACAAACGGGCAGCGGCAGAGGACAAAACCTGCCATTTCTGATTCTATTCCCCTCAACTTAATGAGACTTGCTCACAGCAGACCTACTGCCGAGCTATAGGTGGGGATAAGGGGAGCAGAACCCCTCTCGGTTTCACTGATGTTTTACTCATTTTTCTATTCGGTCAGTCAGTTCATCAATTATCTTGAAATGTCACATGTACAAGATGTAGACGACACGGACATCCATCACCGTCGCAAACAGTCCAAGGTGACAGCTATGTTCTGTTACACTGTCTGTCCTTCTGATATATCGCCATCACCCTGAATGCAGGGATGCCGTGATGGGTATTTTTATTCTTTATCTGACATTTTAGCTACCCCACGATTTATCAGCAGCAGGCATCGTTTTGCAGCCCTAGTCCCACAGCCCAGTCATTAACAGCTAAATGACTTCTATTAGAATGCTGCTGCTCACAACATCCCTGTCCCTGCTGTGCTCTTCCCCGTCAGGCATGATGCTGGGAGGTGGTTGCGGGAGAGAGCTGGCTCACTGGATCATACATGGCCGCCCTGAGAAGGACATGTATGGATATGACATCAGGTACGTCCATGCACACAGTTGTCAGAGGGCACCAAGAGGGATGGCAAAAATGAAATTGGTAATGAAGTCTTTATAAGAAATGGGACTTTTCAATGCATTCTGATCTTTTGGAATCCCCTCCTTTCTGTCAGGCGTTTTCATAACTCGCTGACAGACAACAAACGTTGGATCAGAGAGAGGAGCCATGAGTCGTATGCTAAAAACTACTCTGTGGTGTTCCCCTTTGATGAGCCGCTGGCCAGCCGAAACATGAGGAAGGACCCATTCCATCAGGTAGATGACAGGTTTTAACTCCCCCTGCAGTCGGTTAATCACGTTTCAGAAGGAGTTCAAAGAAGTGAACCTTGTGTCATCTGGCTGCTATGAGTCAGAAAGTCTCATTTTTATGTGTCATTTGTTTGATCATTTGATTTTGAGGTAAAAAGTAATGAGAAGGAATTATAGGAGGAAGCATAGAAACTAGTTTATCTGGCAATTTTTTTCAGAACATAGGGTGATGTACCTGGCACAAACAGATGAAGAGTTAAAAAAGCTAACCATCATGGAGGTGAGACATATACGGTGCATGTAGTTTAACCATATCCAACATCTATAACATCCCTTACACACTGGAGCTAGAGTGAGCAGAGTAGCTGAACAGAAATTCTCAGGAACTGTATATGTGTGGTTTGCTGTCATATATGCTTTCGTCCAAGGTTAAGAAATTGAAATTAGTTTCATGTTAACATAATGCAATCCACTGGCTGATACTCAGAAATCAATATCTGCATAAATACGTCATAGATCAACCCCAGAAGAGCCTCTGTGCACCAGTGGGTGGAAGTCTTATTGGCATCCTTTGCATCATAACAAGTGAAATGATGTTCTTGTTAATGGTCAAAGCAAAGTCTTGTTGGTCTCCATGTAATCACATCCCTTATTTGTGGGGCCAAAAGTGAGAGTGTAGATGGCAAAGAGAGGAACTGAAGATTTGGTGTGGAAACATGACTGGCACCCTGCCAGGCTTAAAACTGCTTGTTGCTTGGAGGAAAGGTGAGGGAGCTATAGGCATCCTATATACACAGATCATTCAGCCAATTAACTGTCAAGTCGTCGCTTTAACTTTAAGTATCTCCTGACAAATACCCAGATGTCTGATGTTTGCAGTGTGAAACAGTTTTTTAAAGGTTATTTTATTGTTTTAATACATTACTTAAGTCCTCCGTCCTGATGATCTACTTTTTGTTTGTCGAGCACTGTACCGTTTTCCAGCCTTTACATGACTTTTCTTTTGTTTTGTTCCCTCTACCTCTGTCTCTCTCAAATCTACAGGCATATGCCTGATTCAGGCTCAGACAGAAGGCAGTTAGCAGTGTAATTACCCCCAGCAGCAACATTTTCTAATACAGGCCTTGCCAGCGTGACTATAAATGATACACTCAGCATTAGTGGGCCTGTCTTGAATGTCTTTCAGCTTAGTTTCCCCCCTTAGCTCAGCAAAATATCTTAATGGACTTCGCCGCCACACTTTATGCATTAATGATCCACTTAGACATGTTTTCTTGTACCAAACCTCATTTAACTTGTATCTGTGACAATATAACCCTTGTCTGATATGTAGAACTTTAGAGCTCTTGTTCCATGTTTTTTTTAAAGCTTGTTTTGCTTAGAATCCTTGACTTTTTGCATGCATGATTAAAATATTTAGCACTACCTTTCAAGATGGACTCTTTTTACAGAATGTTTTGTAAAGAATGAGCACAAACAAAAATCAATAGGAAGGGTCATTATTTTTTTAGTGCAGTGGTTGGTATTCTCTCAAGGAATTCCACTGATCTTATGAAGATAACTTATTTTTTTGTAATCTTTTGGTTACAAAAACAAAAAAATGAATTAAAGGGAAAATAAACCAGCAGCTGAATTCTTGGAGGACAATATGATTTTTTTTCTTTTTTTAGCTGTTGAGCTCAAATTTTGTTTGAATGTATTATACCAAGAGGTTTGCTCAGTATCCACCAGGATAGCAGACTGTTTCTGAGCAGATAATGCGACTGTCTACTTTTAATAACCATCACAGAGTTATTTCAGAGCACAAGCAAGCCATCGCTGACACTGCTGCTCACATGTTTTCTCCACCTCAGTTGCACAGATGGTAAATATAGCTTGGTGTGGGAAGTTTTGGCAAGAGACAGCTTGATGCCTGCTTGGGGGAGCGCATTGCAGAACATACCTACCAACTGTGGGCGACTGTCAATTTTAACAGGGAGGATGGAGAGGCCTTAAATATCTTTTCGAAACACTGTCCAAGAGCAAAGAGGTGCGCGGTTTGTGCTGTAGGTTATGCTTAACAGACAGGTCCTCCGTTGTTAGATGATGTTTTGCCCAGTTACGCGTTCCTATTTCCTTACAATTATCCAAGGGGTAATCTTATCATTTATGTTGATATTAGCAGTACTCTAAACGGGTGTAGCGTCAAAGGAGAGTAGGCCCCACCGCAAGGACATTTTACAGTCTTTCGCCTCATTATTTACTGTAAGCACCTGCCACTACCTCAAGTGAGTCATGAGCCTCTTACTGGCAGACATTGTAAATTGATGAAACCTTGATGGCAGCAATGCACATCGGCGGCCAAAAAATCCTGTCTGTTTTCGTTATGCAGGGTAAGGGATCAGCAGATGTTTGTCTGATATGTTCTTTTCAGAGCAAAAACTCTGATTAATTAATTCTGCCTCGAGTAAATAGGCAGAGCGTCTAATTAGCTGGTGCACATTAGCTTTTTAAGACTTGCCTGATTTTTCTGTGGTGGGTAGAAACGGAGAGAAAAAAAAACAGGGAAGAGAATAGTGCACTTCCACCCCACAGGTGGTCAGAAACACGTGCAAGTTAGCGTTAGCTGCTGAATGGTATTTTTTTTTTTGTATGCTGAATGGTAATTAGATAAAGTAGGTTACTGAGATTAATGACTTACATGTAGCTAATTGAATAACAAATATTAGCAATTAAATTCCCTCAAACGGACTTCCATGATTCTTCTATCTGATAGGTTTTCCACCCTGCGTGCACTCTGAGTGCTGGTTTCAGTGTGTGGCTTTGTCTGTGTGTGCGTTTGTGTCAGGTGCTGACGGAGCAGGGCTGTGTGTTCCAAGAGCGACATGGCTGGGAGAGACCTGGCTGGTTCAACAAAGAAGGACCCGCTCCGGTATGAGGAACCCTTACAACACAGACAATTATAGAGCACAACATTACACGCACACCAGTTATTGTTCCCTGCTCACTGACAGAAACTAAAAGGATAATGTTTATTCACAATGACTTCCAGCCCGTGGATGCTGCTTCATTAGCCTCTAATGATTGTTCTTTGTTTGTTTTTTTTATCCAAAGGTTAAAGACTACGATTATTATGGGTCGTACGACAACAAGAAGAATGCAAACTACAAATACAACGAACTCCTGGGCAAAGAGTACACCTTTGACTTCCCCCCACATCACGATGTGGTGAGATACAGAGAGAGAAGAGTGTGTGAGAGTGTGTTTGAGGAATGCAAGGGATTTCACACAGACAGCAATAATGCAGAGTAGTCCGGTATAAACATGGAGAAATACTGGCGAATTTCAGTCATAAACACGTGAGTGTGATGATACAGTAAGCCAGATTCGAGGCTTAGGAGTTTCAAGGGACCACACTAACTCCACAGCTCGACTGATAAGGGAGGCTGACAAAAAACAAATAAACACTGATTAGATCTGCCTGTTATGATGACTTTCATTCCACTTCTGTGCTGAGGACGTAGCGATCATAGAGTCATTAGGAATCTCATCAATGACAGGATGACGTTTTTATTTAATGACTGTGTCCCGTGTGTGTGTGTGTTGTGTGTTTTTTTTGTTTTTTCTCCCCCCACGTAGATTAAAAGCGAGTGCCTCTCGTGTAGACACGGTGTAGCTGTATTTGACATGTCCTACTTTGGAAAGTTCTTTCTCACTGGACCAGATGCCAAGAAGGCAGCTGATTGGCTCTTCTCAGCTGATGTCAACAAGAAGCCGGGTCAGTTTTAACAAACACACACGCAGATGGTAGAAAAGATGGGTTTGTCTAAGAAGGAGAGGACATGGATGGAAGGACTGAAATTATGCTAGGGAAAGAAAAAAGGGCCAGCTGCACTACAAAAGCATACAGTACTATTTTGAAAGGCCAATGTTCATCTATTCATCCTCTTCTTGGCAGAAAAGATCTCCCGTATATTTGGAAAAAAATTAAACAGATTGAGGGTTGTTTAACCTTCTTTTACAATGCAAGTCAGTAACAATAGTTTTTATTTGTAAAGATGGCAAGTTTTGATTCGTTGCCATTTTTTTATGCCTAGAAAACTATATCTGGAATAACACACAAACACACACATACAGTCTCCACACACGCTACAGGAAGTCTGTCATTCCCATGGGAATGAGTTCCTGTAACTCCTGAAAAATGTGTGAAAAACTGCTTTACAATTTGATGGAACTTTCACAGTCAATAGTAAAGAGACACTCCTCTTCCTGCCAAGATGTTAGAACAATAACGTAGCTGAGGCTCTAACAAACTGCTCACATGACAAGCTGTTACTAAACACTTTAACACCTCCTGTGCTGTATACAATTGAACTCCCTTGACATCATAATTGGATAGAAACCTTCCTATCGCTGACAGAGCTGTTAGTCAAAGACCATTGAAACGGTAAGCATGGCTGATTCAAGGTGATTCAGAATGAATGAATCAAACAGAAGCAATACAACAAGTAGAGCGTTTTAAAAAGGCCTGACTGAGCGGATGAGGTGGAGGTGTTTAAAAATCCTGTTCCATCGTGTCCATGAAAGCTGATGCTTATGTATCAGTCAGTAAGACGCAGAACACCGACCACAGGCTGGTTTTTCACATTTTTGTTGCTGCTATTTTTCTCGTATGAGAAATTCCTCTGGGCTCTACTGTTGGTAATTAAGGTCCGATTGCATGTGTTTTCCATCTGTTTTAGGCTCCACCGTTTACACCTGCATGTTGAATAAAAGAGGAGGGGCGGAGGCTGACCTCACTGTGAGCAGACTGGAGGCTGGCACTGCCAACTGGCCCCTGGCACCAGAACACGATGGTAGGGCAGAACATGTTCCCTTCTCTCTGTATGATGGCCAAATAGACACATAATACACACAAGTGACTCATTTATTTATCTATCTTTATGAATCAGAAGAGAAAAAAAAAGCTAACTTCATTTATCAATGAGTTGAGGGAAATGTTATCAGGTGATGATGTTTAATGGATTTTTATGCAGATTTTAGAACAAATTTACCAAGTATTTAAAGCAGTACCTTTATTACATTGCAAATACAAGTGGTGACACATAGATAGGCCCTGTCTTCTGTTTTTTTTATCAACATCTTCCTTTATTCCAGGTGACGCTTACTACCTGGCCATAGGAGGAGGAGTAGCAGAACACAACTGGAACCACATTAAGTCAGTTATCCAGGACCAAGGCTTTAGATGCCACCTGACAGACCACTCTGAAGACATGGGAATGATCAGCATCCAGGGACCCAAGAGGTAAGAGGAGAAAAGAAGAGAAAAGAACAGTTAGCAATTTAGGTGATGGGAGTTACATCAAGGCAAGGAAAGTATATAACCCCAGTGTGGGTGGAGCGCAGGAGAAATCTTGTTCTAAAAATGGGCCATGACTCATATATAAAAAGGAAAGGTAGGGAAACTTGAAAGTTGAGCTATTTGATTGTTTTATGGCCATAAGAATTTGAAGTGACGGCAGGGATTAAGGTGACCTGACAACTGGGGAAAACGACAGTACTTTAAATTGAGATTTATGACTTTATGTGCTCATAAGCTTTTAAAGATGCTACAAATCCTTTAAAGTTATGCCAGCCAGGAAAAGGTTGCAGGTCTATGTTTTTTAAACCTAACAACATCAAGTAAATATGGTCACCAATGCATCAAGGATAGACAGATTGGCCTTTGATGAAAAACATTTAAAAGAGATGGAGCGTGGATTAAAAAAAGGGCAAAACGGTGTGGAGAAGGCTTCCAGCATGGCTCATTATCCAAAGCATGCAACATCATGTGTAAAACAAATGGATGATAAGTGGATTCAGCCTGATGGGTAGGGCATCTCTGCCTCCAGTGCTACTGACTCACTAGTTTTGGTTAATGATGGAGCTGGAGAGATAAGCAGCTGGGTGACCAAGTTTGTCATTGTAAGCCTGGCTCTTGTACTAATAGAATGGTCCACAGGTGAAGCTGCAACCTCAATGATCTGAAATGTTTTTTAATGTGTGGGTCAAAACGGGAAAGGACAACTTTCTTGTTATCCTTCATAAATCTCTTAGAGACTGTCATCGTCTCCAAGAGACTGTTTGGATGCTGCTAAAGACGTCCTCCTTTCAGTTTTGTCTTTTGTTTATTTTGCTGTTGTTAAAAAAAACATTGTATGAGGTTTTTTGTCCAGGTAAAACAAGAAAAAAAATGAGGCCTGCAGATTTGGACATGGGTGGTAATGCAGGCTTATTGCTTTCATCCTGCTTCCCACATGTTTGTTTTGTTCTCCACTCAGTGAGCAGGTCAGACTGCCCCTCGTACCTCCTCTCCTCCCCACGTCGCTGGCCTCTGTCTTTGTTCTTCCCTCTCACCAGCACACGGGTCCACTCCGTTCCCATGTGTGGGCTCAGTGGATTTCTTCCCCTTGAGGCTTTTCTGTGCCGCTTTTCTCCTAAGTTTTTATCTTTCAGTCTCAGTAGATCATATGTATCTATTTATCCTTCCTTTTTCCTCCCTTGCTGCTCAGTTTCTCTGACGTTCTAGCTTACGTCAAACCAAAAATGGTCGTGTCAGTAACTTTGTATTGTGTGCATACATGCTATTACACATGGACATGCTCATAACTAATTCCATGAAGGTATTTTTTAGCATCCTCATCCTGCTCCTCCATACAGGTTTATTTTCTGGATTTCATAGACACAGTTGGCATATGTGTTGCCTCTCTCACAGTTCTGTAATTATGTTTTCACATGTATGAGGAACTGTGTGAAAATGACTGCTCCAGTCTTACCCTTTTGTTTTCCTATTAACTAAATTGATACAAGGAGGCTTGAGGACAGAGATGATTGCAGTGTTTATGGAAATGTGAGTTGCTGTGTTTTCTCTCCGTATGATTTCTCATTTGAGAGAAGGGAGTCTCAGATCTTGCTATTTTTGTCCTGCACAGCAAGGGCGCATCTTCAAAAAGGGTGAAACAGGTGCTCAGTCGTTTGCTTTTGTAATTATGAAGGATACGATGTACAATAGGGGAAGCTATGTGATGTCTTATGCATGTGCATCCCCGGACGCACAGAAAATATGCAGTTAAGTGATAAATCAGGGAAGCAAATCGGTGGTTAAAAGTGTCTGCTTCCAAACACATACACACACCATTCTCTGACTATATATAGCAAACTGGTCTTTGTGCTCTGGCTCTTGAGTTCACTAAAGAAAGGGAAGGATGAAGATGAGTGAAGTCTTGATGTAAATCTGTGCATCTGTATAAGCACATTGACGCACGTGAGTGTGCACAAGGAACATTCATATATGAATAGTCTTTTCTCCTCCCCTGATACATTCACATTCCTACACCTATGACGCATGGATTGCTTTGTAGAAGAAAGGACTCCCACATAGATGGACAATCATAACCCGAACCCTTCCCCAAATATCTGGAGCCCTGGCTTCTTGCCACAGCACGACAAAAATATATTTTTGAGAAGGCTTCACACATTGTTTTCTGAGTCCTCCCACTCACAAACAGGTTACAAAAAAAGTTGAGCTAAACTTAGTCCCTTTTTTTCTGTTGACTCATCCTTATGTAATATTGATTTAGGTGTGTGAGACCTTATGGGAGTGGAGAGTTTGTTCGTTTTCTTGTTAAAGCACAGATTCAATCTGTTTTCTCTCTGCAACAGCTGCCCAGATGCAAATAAGAAAAGCTTTGGCTGATTGCCACCTGTTTATTTGAGTTTTTTTTTTGTTGTGTTTTTTTTTTTCTTTTTAAAAAATTCATTCATTAATTTATTTATTTTTACATTTATAGCCGGGAAGTTTTGCAGGAGGTTTTGGACACGGACCTGAGCAATGAAGCCTTCCCCTTCTCTACCCACAAAGTTGTGAAGGCGGCGGGGCACCAGGTGAAAAAACACGACCACTCACAACATGTCATGCCTGTCCAGATTTTTTTCCCCTCCATCTTCTCACCTTCTACCTCTTCCCTCCTCAAGCTCTGAGGCTTAAGACTTAAGAACTGAATGCACGGCTGATCTTCACAATAACAGGCAAAGTCATGCATTCACCGCCGGGGTGCTGTCTACTTATCCTCCCGACTCGACCTAGTGTTTCTGACCTCCAGTAAAGAAGAGCCCGCTGGGACACATATGCTCACACACTCGAGTTCTGTTCCTTAGTTACTCTTGCGCGGGTTCTGAAACGCCCTGGCGATTGCATTCAACATCTCCTCGCAGCTCTGCGGGAGTGTTTTTGCTTGTTTGCGAGCGCCTCGCTTGCGCTGCGCTCCAGCTGGTGGCTGGCCTTGTCTGGGTGACATTTTAATGGCTGCACCGCTGCGAGAGCAGCGCGCTTCCTGCCCCTCTGCGCGCCTCGTATCTCATTAGACGCTCTCTGTCTCTCTCTGTTCCCTTCATTTATCATCTGAAGCGGGTGCGCCGGCGTCCACATTAGCTCATATGCATTCATGTCTGCGTTCCCGTACCAGTGTTTGAATTTGTTTATGCCCCGTAAGTGTATGAGTGACACTATGCATGAGTCATGCATGCGTCTGGTGTGCGTTGGGGGGGGGGGAGCAAGCATAAATGTACTCTCCTCTCCGGGGCTTCTAGATGTACATATGGGACCCAGAGTGATCCCTGATTGGACAGATGGCCTTGCTGTTATTTTGCCCACAGGGGAAAGTTCTAAGAAACTTTCCTCATCTCATTTTCTTTTCACTCCCTGCTATAATTTCTACCTCCTTACTTACTTTACCCTTCCTCTTTGCTCAAGTCTTATTTCACATAGGTTTTCTTTTGTCCTGACAATTGTCAGCACTGTTGTACGGTTAACACAAAGATAATAATTAATTGAAAAGTAAACTACAAAATTGCGATGAATATCTTCCGCATTAAGATCTACTTTGACTTTTGTCTTTTAGAATTATCAACCTCATATTAAATGGGTTTTCTTCTCCCTCTTGGCCTTGTGGAGCATCGCTGCTCTTCTGTACGTGTCTGTAAGCCTCCTGTCTGACTTCTCATCCAGGTTCGAGCGATGCGTCTGTCCTTTGTGGGAGAGCTCGGCTGGGAGCTGCACATTCCCAAAGACTCTTGTCTTCCCGTCTATCACGCTGTCATGGCCGCTGGTGCAAAGCACAACATCATCAACTCAGGCTACAGAGCTATCGACTCACTCAGCATAGAGAAAGGTGAGCTTAAGCTTTCTCTCCATCAGTTCAGCTCAGACAGAAATAAACAATAAGATATGGAAACAAATTGTTTTTTTTTGTTTTGCAAATGCAAGATCAGCCAATGCAAGTTTTTATTTTCATAATTATCATTAATAATATTGTTCTAAAATGCCACACACATTTTTAAATTGTCTCTTAATCAGGGTACAGACATTGGCACGCCGACCTGCGCCCTGATGACACCCCCTTGGAGGCGGGGCTTGCTTTCACGTGCAAACTGAAGAGTTCCATCCCGTTCCAGGGCCGTGATAGGCTGGAGAAACAGAAGCAGGAGGGCCTGAAGAGACGCATTGTCTGCTTCACCATAGATGAGTCAGTAGAGCTGCTTTCATGAGACTTTATTTCAATAATCTGAATATTTATGGCTTTTGCCTGCATCTACATGAATGGGTAATCATATAGAACCTATCTGAAAGAAAGATCTTCTAGAAGTGCTATGCTGTTCAGATATTGTTGATCATCACGGATGTTATGTGTGTGCCAGAAGTATTTTTACCTAGATATGCAGATTCTATGTCCTATCTATGTTGTGAGTTTAGTAATTGTTTTTAAATGTGTAAATACTGTAATGGTAATTCTTCCTCTTCATCCTCTTAACCAGGAAAGTACCAATGTTTGGTCTGGAGGCCATTTTCCGCAATGGCGTTCCTGTCGGGCACCTACGGCGTTCTGAGTACGGCTATTTTATCGACAAAACGCTTGGTTATGGATACATCCGCAACCCTGATGGAGGAGTGGTAAGAAGTTTTTACGTGAACAAAAAGAATGATGAAAGACGGTGCTTTGCTTTGCTTTCCTTGCTCCTCATTTCCATTGTTTGTTTGGAACAGTGAACCATGTCGATGTAAAAAAAAACAAAAAACGTCTACTTAAAAGACAGATCCTGAGAGGCTTATAGAAATCTGTTATTTTTTATCTGTTAATGTAGAATATCTGAAAAAACAGACACACATCCAGGCGCCTGATATTATTTGTGCCTTTGTGTGTATGCTCTGCGTTTGGTATTGTTCAGGGATCAGAACAAATCTAACTGACCTGGGGATTTGTTTTGCACTGCTTTTCACAAATGTGGACACACAAACGGACCAGGATACAAACACACATGCAGACACACACAGGTATAGATGTAGGGTTTTTTTCTGTAATCTTGATTGACAAGAGACCAGATCCTCCTGACGTGCCAGTGCGTACGTGTCCTTTCTCCCACACACACACCAGCTTGTGAACTGACACTTGTCTGCCCCCTCTGCATGCCTTCTCTCACCTTGAGTATTTTATCTTCCCTTTTCTTTCCTCTATTTTTGCTACAAGAACACAGGAACCCTCTACATTTAAAGAGGCTCTCATGAGAAACTCTATTGTATCGTTCACTGCCTTCTGTTATTATGAATTTGGCTTTGAAATATACTTTTTCCTTCTGTTTTCTTTTTTAAGTTGCTTTTGGTAATAGCTTTTAAAAAATGCATGAATGTAAAAGGAAAATGTTAGTCTGGTTTTCAGTTAAGCAATCTTAATAATGTTCTCTATGAGTTCATGCCCTGTTCGGTCTATAAAAAGTCCCTTCTGGTCATGTGCTACTCTGCAGTCATCAGACTTAACCTCTGATTTGCCAGGTTCTAAATAAATTCCTAGTTACAACTGTAGCCTCTCTTAAGGTAAAGACAGGATACTTTTACAAGCTGTTGTTGTTGGGTTTTGGTCTTTTGCAGTCTTTTAAGTTATTTCATCGTTTGTAGTCCTTTTTGGAACATCAAATTATAGTTTTTTCCCCCCTCCTCGATAGGACATTATCATATGTGTTTATAGTGTCATTGTTAGAAAACTACATCAATTTGGGTGAAGAGCCCCCCCCTCCCAAAAACACCTAACCCTACCCCCCACTACATTTCATGATATACTTCATAACATGTTTGCATAATTCCGTCCAGAGTTCTGATTTGCCTCTCGCAGCATGTGTGGTTGGGGTAAATCTTTGGGGAATGAGTGAAATGAAGTGATGGAAACGCGGCTGTGTGAATGTGTTAATGTGTGAATGAAAGAGAGATGGAGTGCCAGGGCAGTGTGATTGCTCCAGGGAGGGAAAAGGCAGTCAGTCAGTGAATATTAACTTTCTGTGTTTCAAAGGAACTGACACTGACTCATGAGAACCTTAATTGCTTTCCGCATTTTCTAACTCCTGAGCCCTTCTCCTCTGTTTGTTGCAAAGCCTTTTTAAATAGTCTGTCCAGGAGAGCTCAGCCTGTTGAGGACTGAGTTTCACTTGATCCAAATTGTCTTTCAGACTGTAGTGTCAAAGTTTTGTTTAAACTTCCAGAAACACCTTTTTCCCCAATTCTTTTCACATTCCTATTTATTTGGACTAATTGGTGCTTCTCTGCTTCCTTTATCAGGTGAGTGCAGATTTTATTAAAACTGGCAACTTCACCTTGGAGAGGATGGGAGAGACGTACAAGGCCAAGGCACACCTCAAATCTCCGTTTGACCCTGAGAACAAACGTGTCAAAGGCATCTACGATTGAGAAGACCTCACCGACAAAAGCTCTGGTTTGAGTTGGAAAGAGTTGGTACTCCCCCCCCTTTCTTTTTTACATGCAAATACTGATGCAAATACACGGTACATTTTCTGTCCGTTTATTTTCTCAGGAGACTTGCAATTGAAGTAAGATAGCACTTTTTGTCTCACGTGAGTCAAGACAATTCTAAACTCGGTCAAACTAAAACAGAATAACCTGTTTAAAAAAAAACAGTTTTCTAATATGTTTTTTAAGCAACATTTGGAAAAAGTAACTAACCTCAATAACTCCTGTTGGTGTCAAGCCACAGAGAGTCGATGCTATCGGATTTATTGGAGCATCTTAATCTGTAACTAACTCATGATAAGAGAGTTTTTATAAACGTGCTTCTTTGTTTAGATTGCTCCACAAATGTATATTCGGATTCTTAAAACTGTAACACAACCGTGATTCTTTGGACAAATTACAAAGTTATGTGGATGGGTGGGTGCTCTTAGAGGAACTGGTAAAATGGCTCAAGAAGGAGATTACAGATGTATAAGTGTGTGTGTTAAATCAAAGTAAATGCCACACTGCATATCCAAAGTCAGCAGCACTCTGGAATTTTTTTATTCCAAGTTCTCTGATATTGTTCTGTCCTTCAGGCTCTGTTAGCATCCAGACTGTTTCTACCATTTCTCATTTTTCATAACCTGTTTTTTTTCTTTTCCTGTCCTCCGTGTCTGTGATATCCTCGAGGAACAAATGATAAAATGTTCTAAAATCTGTCAGACTGACTTACTCATGCTGCCATGTTTAATGCCGTTGCTTTAAGCACTCTAGTGCCACCAATTTTTATATTTATTTTTTGTTTTATTTCAAATTGTTTTTTTTTTTTGGATGAAGATGATTTCAAACCATTGCACAATTTAATGTCTGTCATGTTGGGTTTCATTAAAAAAACGAATGAGGCAAAAAAAAGATAAAAGCCAGTTGTTTTTTTCAATTTCAATTTTCAACAAATGACAGGCAAATCAATATTCACAATCCCCCTGAGTATGTTCACATCTGTACAACAATACACAGACCGCTAGACTGCAAAAAGAAAAAAAAGTGATCACAATCACTGTTAATGTTGCTGCCTTAAGCAAATTAGTCTTCTGTCTGGTAACAAAAAGTACCGCCTTGTCACGCCAGAGTGATTTATTGACCGTATCTCATTTTAAGTTGGCACAGTTATGTGAAATTGGAGATGCACCCACATTTTTCTTATCTATTATCTCATATCTTAATTTAATGACATTGATGCGCACCGTTTTTGATAAAAAGCTTCTTGTAGCCCCATGACGTCCAAGCGGTTTTGTGTTTAAATATGAGTTTTTATTGCATTCATCATCCGATTGAACAGAGTCCCACAAACTACCATGGTTAAAAAGTGCCTTAAGTGTGTTTTGGAGAGGAGTCATGTGACTCCAGAGGTTGACATACCGAGAAGATTAGAAGCTGGGACCATAATGCCCTTTTCTCTTGCCCCTTGGTCCTGTTTTTTTTCTGTTATCTTGGCACAATAATGCCTCCGAACTTATTTATTTGTAGTTGAGATTTGAGAAATAGATCTTTTTAATTAAAGCAGAGCCAGTTGTGTTTGAAGCATCATTGCTTCTTTCCTGCTTGATGATATCTGCTGTGATCGGGGCTGCAATACAACCACAAAAACCCAGTGTACACTAAAAATAACAGTATGGAATCACTTTTTGTAATTATTGAGTGGAATAAGTCTCTCTAGTTGAGCATAGCAAACGTTTGCTCTTTTTTATGCCAGAACGTACAGTAATTACTTTTAGTGTTTACGTGATTATCAGCAGTCTGATTATTAGCTTGACACGTTTTATAAAATGGTCAGAGTTATGTGTCCCATCTTTGTTTACGCTTACACAAATATGCTACAGAAAGCCAAACTTCATCTCGCACATTCAATGAACGGCAGCCAAAAATGAGGGGCCCTCACTGAAAGGAGCCATTTGTATGTAGTCTCCTTCTCGCCTCCTTCATATTTGCTGCTGCATGTTGAGCACAAAATGTTTACTAATGTGGAAAGATAGATTGATTCTGTCCAGAAGGCTATTAATCATTGGAATGGGGTTTCTCTTGTGTGGCTTAGGTTAACCACAAGATTTATATGGGAAATGTGAAACTCACTGATAAAACACTTCAGCTATAATGTGTTATTGTGTCCAGAGGCTTTTTTCCACCAACACGGTTTATATAATTTGTCTCCTTTTTCATTGATATGTGAATACAATTGAAAAATTCTTAGTGAAAGAAAAAGCAGTTGCATTTGCTTCCAAAGTCCAAAAAATTCAAAATCGTCACATTGAGCTTCCAAACAAAAATATGAAACTTAATAATTTTTGGGACTTTTATTAGTAATTAAAAAACTTTTTCAATGAGAAACATTAATGTAGGAAATAGAGGGATAGATTATATAATTTTCCAATAACATATAATGTTGAAAGTACAGTGCCTCTGAATGCACTTAAGGGCTCTATCCTATAGACTGTAATATTTGCTTAATTATATGTTTTGTGGAAAGTTTTAAATTAGAAACAGTAAAAAAACAATAACATAGGGAACAAAATTGAACCATTAGCTGTGTCGTCGTCCCCCCCCCTTCCTTTTTTATTATTAAACATGACATGTCTAGGACTGTTATTAGCTTAATTAGCATGCATTGATAAAGACACAGACAGTAGATGTCTTTTTTTATTTTTTCATTTTATTTTTAGAAGCCTATAATTACAGCAAGAAGCAGAAGCCACTGAGCAACTAACAGAGAAAAAAAACAACGGCGCCAAGAGTTTCACTTAATTTCCAAGGAGTTTGGGCTGGGGCTGAAGCATTCAGTGGTTTTTCTGTCCAGGCTGAGGCTGCGCGCCGTTAGCTGCTGGGGACCGCACCTCCTTCGCACGGGTAGCGAGGTTTCTCAAGGATGGAGGCCACTGCCGGTATAGTCTGTTCCTCCCACTCCCCCTGGAGAAGCAGAAATAGATTGCTGACATCCGGAGCTGACGATATTTCAGCGGCAGCTTTTCATTAAATAAGTTTACATTAGTCTCTCAACAGCATGTCACATTACATGCACTGTCAAAAGAAGTGTATATTTCTGTGGTCACGAGCCACTTTGGACAGCACACAGTACCAAAACTATACAGAAGCGAGCTGAATTATCTAAGTTACCATAAGATCTGCACCGTACAGGGTTTAGAAGAATGATTAATTTTGAAAAAATGAATAATTTATTTTATGCATCAGATCATTCTGAGAAAATAACACCAAGGGATATTAAATTGCTCGAGCAAATCTTGAATTTCATTCGGGTGCTCTAATCCAAAAGCACCCCGCTCTACCATTCAGTAAAGCAAAATTTTCTCTGGATGTACCGTCTTATCAAAGATTGGTGTAGTTATACTTACTTTGTCAATGCATCTAATGAGTTTCCTCCCAGTTTTTCTTTTTCAGGTTTTCCCTTCTTGACTTATTTGACCTGACGTACGATTTTTCTTTTGAACTATCCTAAATAATGTCACTCATCTTGCATTTGGGTCTGTTATCAAGCTGTCTGCTGAACCGGCTTGTGTCTCCCATCCAAAAGATTTTGAGCTGGTTTCACTGGTGGTTTGGCAGTGCGATGTGGCGTGTGCATGTGTTTGGCTGGTGGGGACTCACTGGAAATAGACGTGCGGTGGACTGATTGCAGTGCATGGAGATGGGAGCTGTGTTGTAAAGAGAGTCGAGCACTTCCCCAGTGAAGTCATCCCAGTGCAGCTGAGAGTACTGTTCTGTTACATCGACCTCGCCGCACACACACTGATCATTCCCGTGGAACCTGGAGGGTGGAGGCAGAATGAGATTGAGGAAGGCGGAAGAGTTTAAAAAACGTTGGTTATCAGTACCTAGTTTCACTTTAAAAGGACAAAGCATATTGAAAATGATTAATCCCCTCCCTGCTTCCCTTGAGTGAAGGCCGGAGTGAGGAGAGATGAACGCAGAAAACAAAAGCTGACTGCTCACAGGAGATTTAGAGGAAGATGCTAAGTGAGGATGAGGAGAAGAAAGGAGGGATGATGATCTCAGGAGAGGAAAGGAGATCAGCATGAATTACCTGTTAATGAAGCTGAAGTACTTCTGCAGGTATCCCGGGTCAACGTGGCTCTTACAGAGCTCCAGCTGTGTCCGAGGGTAGTAGTGGACATAGTTGACGCACATTTCTTCCATGATTCCAAAACCTCCCTGAAGAGACAGAGACAAAACGATCCCAGAAATATGGTGGCGAAAAATGACAGAGAGTACAAAAAGGCTGAAACAGACGTTTATATGAACACAGCTATGAATACAAAGTCAGCCTCTCACCACTGTGGGCTTACTCCGGTCCTCTGTGTTGTAGGTACATTTTGTTATGAGGACGTCCCCCTGAAGGATGGAGCAAAAATACATCAGCGGTCCCTTATAACTTCCCTTTGAGGAAGAACAATGACAGTGATTTAAGATTACTGTCTCTAAACGTGTTATCTAAATGTACCAGAGGTCAGAGGGCTGCCAGGAGAAAAATCACAGTGTGGATTTACGCTACCGACATCTGCTTCTGTCCACGTTCAATATAAGCGTCACACGCATCTGATTAGTCAGTTTTACAGCGAATATTTGGCTTTGCCATTCAGTTAATTCGCAGATAAATAATATTTTCATTCTTGTCAGCAGTGGCTTGTGGTACTCTCAGTTAAAGACACGGCAATTTTATACTTACAGGTAAAACATTCACCATTTTCCTCAGAACTCGGATAGTCTGTAAAATAGAAGACCAAAGTCAGTGCAACATAATGACATGAAAATGGACCCCATCTGACAGACCTGAGCAGGGACCTATAGCATTAGCATTAGAAAGTTATGATAGTATACTAGTATGCTCTTGATAGCATCCTAATTTTGGGCTTTAAGAGCAGCATCTATTTCAACGTGACTCAGGTCCACTCAGATTAGTCTGACATCAGCTGCTGGAGATCTCATCAGAGAGGGGAACAGATGTCCTCCTCTGCTGCGAGTGTGCCCGCACCTGCCTCTGGATATCGCGCAGAAATAAAGAACAACAGATGCCGGCCGCAGTCTCCCAGCATCTTAATGTTGTTGTTTGTCAGATGCGGTGCTGTCTGACAAGCTCTTTGGAATCTGTGCTATTTGGGATTCTTTTTTCAGGCCTGATGGAGGCTTCACTCACTCTGTTTTTTACTTTTGATCAGAAGACCTGACGTATCTTGTGGATTGTAGTAGAGTCAGAAAGATTTGCATGTTTATGTTAACCACTTTCCTATTCAAAAGGACCGTTGAATGTGATTCAATAGAAGAGAAACACAAAGTATTCCTGCAAGTATTTTGGTTTAATGTATTAATTTGGTAGTATGTTGTTTTGCTGTCTTGCATATTTATCACTGTGTCACTTAAACTCCTAAACTGTGAGTAAAAAATGTGGCCAAACATGATGCAGCAGATTGTGGCATAGAACTTGCTTTCATCCAATCTTAGATTTTTTTTTAAAAACACGCACACACACTGGGAATATATGCATCGTAGCTTTGATTTTCTCATGCTAAACTGAGCCCTGGGGGCTGTCACCTGGTAGTGTGTACTGAAGTGCTGGTCTTCCTGCACGATCTCCAGCTCTTTTCCTCCCCTGACCAAAACTGTCCTCACCCCTCGGCCTGCCAGGTGAGTGTGGAGCTGGGAGGCGAATATAAAGATCCCGTCTGGAGGTAAAGCCTTGATGGATGAAAACAGACGCACCAAAACAGACCTTATCGGTTTTGTTAAGCCTGACAAAACCTTTGAGACCAAAACCAAGTGCTGATTTATTCTCTTGGCTCTTAACTTTGGGATAATGGTATCTAAAAGAACGGGCTGCTGTGTACATACAGTCTGAGTACACTTGGATGTGCAGTAACCACTGAGGTAGAAGGTCTGTTGTTTAGGTGGAATGGCCATGACAGGAGTGTAAACGAGGCCCAGCTCCATGATCCCTGCGTCATAGCGCCTCAGGCTGGGGGTGTAATGCAGTCGTATCCCTGATGAATCGTGTCGACCTGCATGAAGAACACGCCGTTTTAAATGGATCTGCAGGTAAACCGTAAACTTCCACTTTATAAAACGAAAGGCATTAATGTCAAGCGATAACAAATGTAACTTTGCATTTGTGATTTTAAATGTATGTAAATTTAAAAAGAAAAAGTGTTTTCAGGAAATGTTTTATCTCTAAATAAGTGGAAAATGACTGAAGTAGAGTTAACTGTCAACAATATGAGGAGAAAGGATTAAAACATAAACAGACATCTGAATGAGAGTGTAAAATGCTATGTCGACCTGGACCAAGAACAAATACTGTTATGTGTTTTTGTGGTTTAAAACAGGCTTAAAAAAATTCTAAACCATTTGCAAATGAGGTATCAGCGTTAAAAGCATAATTAAAAAAAATATTCTTAGCATATTGAGAGCTAAGGGCTGACCCTATCTGGTGAAAAGGAATCAATTTCAATGTAATCCAAAAACCCAAGGACGTATGTTACTATTTTCTCTCTCATCACTTATTTTCTGTAAACCTAATTCAATGAGAAGAGCCTTGTAATTACTTCAAAGTATTTCAAATGACACAAGTTTAAATAACTTGGCTTTAATAGGATGAGCCTGAGGCGCTGAGACGGAAATTAAGAGAATCCAGCTCATTAAGTTTGTATGAGGTTTCTATGAGAGTCATGCATGTTGTAGTAAAATCCCAATTCAAGCAGTCATGTGTGAGCTGTATCTACCAGATATAAGAAGAGGATTGTGGAAATGGACTTCCAGACGAAGGAATCTTGAAGCACCTGGCCCACCCACTGCCAGCCCTGCATCAGGAGGATAGTAAAAAGCCTGCAAATACACACACACACACACACACATTTAGGATTAGGACACGATCATTCCTCCTTCCAGTCATTCTGAATGTAAAGCAAAGACTTTCTCATTATGCAAGCTGATGAGTAAAACCAGTAGGATTTGCTGCAATTTTGCAAGACCTGTGTATCCAAATTAAGGTTCGAGTGCCCTAAAACTACAAACAAAAGAAAGAGAAATACAAAAACTGAACTTTCAGTGCTGATATATATATATGTATAAAAAACATAAATGACAACAATTTGGTCTATCCGGACTTTGGACTTTAAAGTAATGTAGAGATGCATTGGGACATATTTCTCACAGAGATAGATCCTCACCCATTGGCATTGTGAATAAGTATATATTCCAGGATGATGAAAGTTATGCATTCTTCGATTAATTTATCCTTGAAATGGATTGTGGATTAGTTGTGTACTTTGTTTATCAGATGCTTTTTCCATCCGTTATTAGCTTAATCTCTCTCTCTTGGTGTAACAGCAAAAGCACACATGCCTGTGTTATTGTCTCTCTTTACATTCTGACAAAGTAAGAGACAATTGTTTCCCCTCTCTTTGAAAATTACCTCCACTCATTTGTTTCGGTAAGGCCACGTTTCCCCCTCCGATACAGCGTTGAGGAGAATAAAGCAACACTATTAGAAGGTGATGAAAGAGGCCTGAATATTTCTCACCTAATCTTGTCTTCACAGCTCACAGAAGGCATCCTGCTTGTTTTTTATTTAGCTGGCAGATAATCCAATCGGAGAGGGACCAGGCTTGCTTGTGATGCAGAAGGAAGCGGTGCAAAAAAAAAAAATAAAGTGGCAGCCTCAATATTCCCTGTCCTCTTTTCTCTACGCAGCTTGCAGGCTGCATGTTTGCACAGCCAGTGTTATGGTACCCATCAGTTTGTCGACTACAGTTTCAAAGCCTTAAGTCTTGGCATAGTTTTTATGGAGTCAGAATAAGTGTTAAATTGAGGAACTTCAGCATTGTTGTCATTATAAGATGAAGAGCAGACTAATATCACTTAATGGTTGCCAAACCAAGAGTGGAGCGTAGGGTAGGGGTATGACAGGCTGCTACCACATGACTGTGTCCAGTTTCTGTAATTCAGAAGCTTTTGACCGAAAAAAATCCACAACATGGATGTAACCAAAATGTTGAAGCTTCAAATGACTTACTGAGCCCAGAAAGTAGGAGATGTCTCTCCTTTGTTCCCCATCGTCTCCAATCTAGCAAGGATCATGCTTCTTGAGCAAAACTCTTCGTTTTTTTCCCCAAAGTGTTGCTAAAAAACACCCTTCAAGCAGTCATGATGAAACCTTCCTCAATTACAAATGTGTGCAGTTTTCATTTATGCTTTTTGTGGGTGTATTTTTCATTCCATACAAGCAAGTTTCTAAATATTGGTGTGCAAGAGTGCAGATCCCACATACAGACTGTCTCTTCATAGATGGGCTGTGTGTGGGAGCATCTTTACAAAATTTGAAAGCTCACAGTTCTGGGCTTGGATATTACTTGCGTGGGAGCCTTTGTTAATCTCTTAAAATAGGTGCAACGACTGGACCAAAAACACGCTCCGTTCCAGAGCTTTCCAGAGCTCTCTGACTGTAAGTCGCTGTTGTATGCATTTTAACGGGCTACTATTTAAAACGTGTTTATTCTGGTTCGTCTTATGCCGTGGGTTTCCGTTCCTCAGCCACGTGTGAGCCACCGTACCTCGGCCCCCATAGCCCACGCAGCCAGCACATGGCGGCAGAAGTTGAGCTTCCTCGGCTTCATTTTGTCATCGCAGGAGCCGCTGTATGGGGGAACCTCACTGACATCCGGGGCACATTCAAACACTTCGATGTGATGGACGATGGCCTCGTTTCCAGGTGTTATCACTGACTCGTACTGACAGAAAAGCAGAGACAGCAAACAGTTCATGCATGAACAGGTTACCACCTGAAATGATTTGTTGAAATCCAGCTAAGGAAACACTTTGGATACATTTATCCTGATGCGTTAATCCTCTTAAGTACTAACCATCCAATACATTCTACTTAGTTTAAACATCATACTGCAAAGCTTTTTTAAAATTTTCTGTGGACTTTATACCATGACAATGTGGTTCTTGGCCAGATTGTCTGGCAGTTTGTTAATGAAGCACCAGTAGGTGGTTTCTTGGGTTGGTATGACGACATTTGGTAACACAACATCGAGTGTCTCCACATCTGGAGGCAGGGTGGGTGATGGCATGTCGGGACGAAGCATCAGCACCCTCTGTACCCCTGTGTGGATCCTGGAAAGGTTCAGCTCCTCGAGAGAGGCAAGTGGTTTATCCAGGAATCCATAGATGATGTGCACAGTTCCCTCCTGACAACGTAGCACAGAAAAAAGGAAAGTAAGGGCTACCAAGCAGAAGATAAGTTATGAGAAATTATATTTTTTGAGAACTGATATGGGGCTGATGTAAATTTTCTGTGGCAATCATAAAGAGCCTTTTTTAGCTTTGTAATTGTCATATACACTGGTTTTGTTTCGCAAATTTAAATCTAACGTAGCGCTCTTAAAACTATGATCCTCATTACTTGAAACTGCACCTTCATGCCCAAATCTGAAAACCATGATTCTGTCGATATGGATATATGCATTGCGACCATCCTACACATCTCTATGAGGCCCTGTGATTGACTGGTAACCTTGGGTGGGAATTAGTGGTATGGTACATGGATGGATGGATACAAATTATGACACTTTTTATATGAAAATGAGTATATCAAAACGGATGCTAAATCATACCTAAGCTTGTACATCATGCAGAAAATCCTTGTGATTGTCACATAACAACCAACTCTATTCCACCTATGGTGCATGGAGTAAATGGAGCAGCAGTTATCCTACAACCTACCCAGAAGAGATAGACCAACTCAGCCTTAGTGTAACAGAACAGGGCAGCGAGATAAACAGCCTAAATCCAGCTAAATCCAGAATTGGCAAACGTGTTCTAAACAAAGACGTTTCCTACCTCTATGAGATAGTCTCTGGGATCGCAGGTACTGAATGGTCTTTTGAATAGCAGGTAGAATCCATCAGCCCTCTGTTTGGCCTCAAGAAGCTCATAGTCTTGTTGGCTGTCCAGCGATACGTGACCCTCGCTGTCACTCCAGGCATCCTGAAGGAGAAGTCAGACACAGTAATTTATTTACATGTTCAAATAGCTTTAAACATACTAGCTGTAGAGATTCTTTGCTTGTCCCTGGTGAAATTCATTATAGAGTTAGAGGAAGTGTGGGTCTCTGCCATCCAGTTTAGAAAAAAGCTAACATAAACAGTAGATAGATAGTCTTTGGAAAATAAATGTAAAGAAGTCTGTAAATGAAGTAGCACCGTATCATAAAGAAACAGACTAACAAAGAGGAAGAAATACTGGGGTTTTCACTGTTAAGTTGGAAATAGAAATAATAAAATACTATTGCTGCAGGTTTTAAATTCAAAGCTAAGTAATAATGGATATTCTGGCATTATTAATGTAGGTAAAAGAGGAAATCAGTCAAACTGTGGCAGTTGGCATTGTGAAACCTTCCCAACCTGGCGAACAAGATGTTCTTATTGGTTGCCAGAAGGCTCTGCAGTAGCTCACTCTTTCCACTCGTTATGTTTCTCACATTTATACCTGTCCAAAATCACACCTAAGATCACTGTTTTTATTTCCGTCTTCCTTTTTATGGCTCTTACATAACTGTTCCATAGAAGCTTCAAAGATTTTAAAGCCAACAATTCTCTAAAAGTATATCATCTGATTAAAGATTAAAAGGATAAGAGCCATATACATCAGTGTTACCAGTCTGTGAAGAGAACAAAGGTTCATCCACCTTGAATGTAAACAACTACTTAGTGTATCTAATGGAAAACCACATTCATATCATGCATAGGAATTTTGCTTTATTTCCTTAAAGTACAGAAAGTGTAATGAAATAGCAAAGCCAAGCTAAATTGAATTTCCTGTTCATGGTCAGGTGGGAAATGAGCCCAGATTTCCAGGGTGACAATCATCTGAAAATCTGCCAAACTCCTGCTATGACAGCATCACAAATTGCTGAGAAACCACAGTGATATTTTGTTTAGCTTGCTAACTCAAAATTAAATTGATAAATAAATTACCATTTGTAACAATCTCAGAGGCTGCTTGTGAGACTTTGTTAGCATACAATTAGAGACATTTTTTAATGTTCGTGGGAGATTGCATTGTTGTTTCTAGTTTGAAATAGCGCATATGCAGAAGTCTCATTAGTCCCTTTTGACAAACCTACTTATCGGTGAGTCTTTAGTGGTTAAACACTGCAGTTTGCTCACAGGATTTGACTGACTTGCTGCCAGAGCTGTTCACTGTGCTATTTTGTTCCGTAAGAATCAACAAAAGCAATATATTTTCTGGCTGGAAAACTATACAATGACCTGAAAGCCCTTCTACAATGAAACTCTGGTGTGTTTCATAGAACCTTTAACTGGAATATTACTGTTACAAAAATAAGATTCAATTTCATAGAACTTTTAACTGGAATATTCTTTTTTAAAGCTTTCATTTGAGAGAATATGGAGGCATCTTAGACATCTTAGTTAACACAGACCTCTTCCTTAATATGCAAGTATCTGCTAATGATTCCCCGGAGAACTCCAGCTCGTAGTGCAGTAAGAGTAATTTTCAATTAGTAGTGTCTGATGAAGTATATCCTTTTTAACTATGTGATCATGATGTATGTCATTCGATTGCATTTTCTACAAAGACTCCATTCATTCAGAAATCCCCATTCGATCATTCATTTATGAATTTTAAAAGCAAACTTGGAAAGAATCCCTTTTTTCTGTCTTTCTTCTTATTTTACAATCTCTCTCTGGAGACCTTGTGGATATAGTCTTTAGAGGGAGGTCTTGTCTTGTATGCTTTTATGTATTCGCCACACAGGCTTTAAATCCATTTAAAGGAGTACTTTCCACTGGTACTCTTTGTTCATGCCTTTCTTACCCCGAAATAGCTTTTTGTTCCAGATTCCCACAGCACGACCAGATCAGCATTGGTCAGCTCGCCCCGGTCGGACATCCCCAGCACCACACCATGTCTGAGCTCTGCTGTCCTCAGCTCCATGTAAATCTCCAGGTTGGTGTAGCTGATGTTCCAGGCCAGCTGGAGCTCCCCGCGTGGGTCGAGGGGTACGTGGAAAGGCATGGGGAGAGGTGGGAGAGGGCTGGAGGGGCTCGGTTTAAAGCTGGACACATCAACAGCGTTAGGGGGAGCCTGATAAGAAGCCACCAGGATGACCATCAGAGCGGCCAGGGCGGTGAAATACATGATGGTGATGTCCTGAAGACGGAGCTCTTTGTTGAAGATTCTCATTGCCCCAGTGAGGAATCACAGTCAGACTCAGTGGAGCGGACAGCAGATCCTTTTCAGCAGCTTTTCAATGGCTGTTCTGTCTTCTACTGTCTCTGAGGTCAAACACGAATTAAAGAGTTTAAGAAAAAGCTCCAGGGAACCTTATTCTCGAATGCAGCTATTAAAATTTAGTAGATTGATGTAACTTCCCATCCTCCAGACTGTTTCTTTTCTTTTCTTTTCTCTTCCAGTCAGAGCGGACTCCCCTTCTCAGTTGTCACCTTGGAACTTTGCTGTCTTCTTTCCTATTTTTTTTAACCTCTCGGGCTCTGATTTCCTCAAAAGATTGACTCTCTTCTTACCATTACTGATTTTCCGGCTTTTGGATTGCAACAAAAGCCCTTGTGCGTGTTGTCTCTTTCCTCCGAGCAACTTCAAAATCTATCCGAGTCTCATCCACCTCTCTGGTTTTTAAAAGACTCCTCCCCTGTGAGTTGTCTGTTTTTATCCAGCCTAATGGTATTACATTTGTTGAGGAAAATTGGATTGTGTTCTTTAAGCCCTGGGGTCATCCATGATTCTGCACATCTGCCAGACCCTAATTGATCCAAATTCAACCATGGACATTATCAATGACAATCAGCTTTGACTAACATATCTTTATAGCCCGTTCTCTCTTTGTGAGCACATATGGCACATTTATTTTCATACTAAAATGTTCAATATATCTCAGAAATATCCCTTTGTAAGTGCTGGATTTAAAGCAGATTTTGAGGGCAGTGGGTTCCAGTGAAGGTGTAAACAAGGCACTAATGCATTGGGCCCTCCTTAAGCCAGAGCCTGAGGCTGCAGATGGCCTAATCAAGCTGCCAATTATGGGTTTCAAAAGCAAAAAAGATCTGGTTTAAAAGGTTAGTAAGTTCCCTGTGGAAATGTGTGTGTGTGTTTGCTTTTAAATGTCTGTTTGCATTTAGTGAAAAGCAGGTAAGCTACAGTGGGAAATTGCATTTGGGATAATGACAGACGGTTCAGCACGCTGTCCCCACCTTTTAGACACGTCCGAAAGGGTGTGTGATGTCTTCTTTAGACGGGAGGATCCTGGTGACTTAGATTTAATAAACCCAACATTTCTGACCTGCTGCCATCAGCAGCCATCATTGAGAAGAGTCATCAAATCACATTCATAACTGTTGTGAAGGTAATTTTACAATTAATTTACAACCATATTGAGTCAGTCGTCGATTATATAGGCAAAAAATGCATGCTTTAGTTGGACTGAAAGCCAGTAATTAATTTTGAAAGAGACTGAAGTGCGACATTTGAATCTTAGGAGTATTCAACAGATTCCCATCTCTGCAAATGGAACTTGTTACTAAATAACTTAATATATACTTAACACTCCCAATCGAGCGGCAGAGCTACATAAACATCCTCCTAAGAAACATTTTGTAATGTTGACATTTCTGAAAATTGCAGACGAAAGTCATCTTCAATTCTGTTGTTCTGTGGCTGCCAATTTTATATGTGTTGGCAAAATTCTGCATATGAAGCCACTCCACTGAATGTTTTTTTCACAACAGGCTTATATGAGGAAAGCTCTGGATCAGAGGAGGCAACAAACAGGAGTAAAGACGGGCTATTGTTGTGTTAGTTAATGTAATGAGGACTGCAGGCCCCTGGGGCACGAACAGAGATCTGTGTGTCCGGTCTCCAGCCCTCATGTGAGCTTCAGTGATCGCATATTGCTGTCTGTCATTGTCTCCGAGTCTTTCAATAAGTGTTTCCTCTTTATCTTTTTAACCATCACTCTCCAACCTCTTTGGCAGTCTGCTACTCTTCCATCACACGCACACCTCTTGGATCTCCTTTCACTCGCTCCTGCCTGCTAACCGTTTCCCAAAAGCACGGTTGTCTTTCTGCTGTCTCTAATCGTGTGTCAGCAAACACAAACTAGATACTGTAAAGTCAACTGTGGGGAGGGGAGACAAAAGAAAGCACTGGGTTGGGACAAAGGATTTTTATGTAAAAATCTCTGTATTTTGATGTGACTTTATATTTCTCTAAGCATAAGCCAATATCTAAGCCTCTTGGTCTAAGACAGGCACTGACACAAGGAGAAATGAGGTTTCTGTCGAACACACAGCGGCGTAAGCTTATTTGATGTATGCTTTGTTTCACTCCACTTCCTATCACTTTGTCCCAAGTCATGACCTTGTTTTTCAGGGCAATGGCACTTGGAACAAGGCAATGAAATCTGTGGTCAACCAGATACAGTTAGTATATTTCAACTATATGTAGGCAAAAGATGGAAACCTTTAGCATTGGCATGGGTGGCACAGTAAAGGGGGTGGAACAATGCTGTCTTCCCAGGATTTCTCAAGGCCACGCTTCATTCAACTTAATTTAAATTATTCTGTTTTCAGATATTAAAAATGTACATTTGTTTTTCAAAATCACAGATGTTGCATCCTCTGGACTAAAGAGTTGAAGGTAAGTATAGACTTATTATTATTATTATTATTATTATTATTATTATTATTATTATTATTATTATTATTATAGTTATTATCATATTTCAGCAAGTCCATGATAATCTGCATATTTACAACAGCATGACTTCATATTATAGAAGTGCTGAACTGACCTGCGAGCCCTCCAGACCTTATACGATCTGAAAACATTTGCTGCATCACAGCAAGTATAAAAACTTACATCACAGGAATGAGAGAACATTGCTCAGTCAAAGGTCCAGTAAATGTTTTCTGTGTATTTGTTATGGAGTTCACAGCCTCCAGACAGTGATGCTGATTAATAATTTAATGGTGTGGTGGTTTGCACCGTCGCCTCACAGCAAGAGGGTTCTGGGTTCAAGTCCCCGGGGGAACCAGGACCTTTCTGTGTGGGGTTTGCATGTTCTCTCTGTGTCTGCCTGGGTTCCCTCCAGGTACTCTGGGCAAAAAATAACTATAGGAGTGAGTGTTAGTGTGCGTGGTTGTTCGTCTTTGTGTGGCCCTGCGATGGACTGGCGGACTGACCAGGATGTACCCCGCCCATTGACTGCTGTCAGTGGATGGGGATGGGATAGGCTCCGCCCCCCCGTGACCCCATTTGGGAATAAGTGGTTCAGAAAATTGATGGATGGTATTGAGCCAATAATCAATTGAATCATAATACTCTCAATTCTACTACTCAGAGTCCTATTACTCTGTTATCCTGTTTGTTACGTGTAGAGAAAACAAACTTAAACAGTCATATACCACAACACACACGATAAGATAAAGCATTAAGGTATAAAAGCCGAAAATCACCTCAACATGACCATTCTAACCATCTCATTCTTTATAAACGTAAATATTTCATCACTGCAGATTTGTAAAGTGCTTTCATCTCCACTTTTGTGAGCTTGAATAATGAATGTAATAAAAACTCACTCTGCTACCCTTAACATTACCCCTCATCTGATCTGAATGTGAGAAGGGAGCACTTGTAGGCTGGATTTGATATTAAAGCTGGAGAGGGAAAGCGACGGAGGAAAAAGTGGTGAAATAGCACTTAAGTGACTTCACAGGAAAAATAAACCGCCTTTCACGTCCTCTGCTCTGGAGGCTGAGTGACAGAAGACTTGGGGAAAGAAACATGTGACAGGGGGAGGTACACAGAGAAGAACGGTCCATCCAGAATTATCAGATTCTGACAGAGTTTAAGGGCAGTTGTGATGCAGACGAAAGGCCGCTTTGTTTATTTAGCTTGGCTGCCCTTTTTGTCAATGAGAAGTGCATTTTTTCCCCCCAATCATCTTTATAGATGTAGGCGTTGCACAGGTATATAACCTGGATGATTAACTTCAAGGGAAGATTAATGAGCAACTGATGGCAGATAGTGTATAATGACTTTTAGATGTAGCCAACAGTTGAGTTGTGATGTTGTCATGGGTTCACTGCTGCTAAACTTTGTGCATTTTGACATCACTTTACATCCTGGCACTACACTATGGCTTTTCTAAAAAATCAATATTCCTTTATTAATGTGGCTGTAGGATAATAAGCCACATTATCAAACGTTCAGCCTCGTGCGCCTTGAAGACCCGAATAAGAGCGCAAAACAACTTGAGAGTCAGGAAGGATCAGCTTGGGCTCCCTCTTTTTCTCATCCCTCCCTTCACGCACCCGCAGCCAGTCTGAATCCTGTGACTGGAAGCGCCATCTCCCAGGCTGCTCACTCCGGGCTGCGTTCTCTCGCGGGCTGTGCAGGCTGTGCGGCACCTCTGGATCCAGAGCGCAGCTCCCCTCTCCGCGCAGCGCAGCGCCAGCCGGACGTCGCTCTGCGGGAAGCCAGCAATTAACGGGCCTTTAGGGGAGTCCAGCCAAACGGACAGCCCCAACCTTCTGTTGCCCTCCATGACTGGTCAGCTTGCCTTTCGGCAAACATCGACGAGCAAGCCAGCTCACTGCGGCGAGAGAGGCGTTCTGGAGCGAGAGGAGATGGTCAAATAGCTGCAGACCGAGAGGAAAAGGGAAGAAAAACAGCGTCACTATCGGACCTCGATCTTCTCGGACGATGAAGAATCGGTTGTTCACATAGAGATGACGAGATTTCTCCTGTCTCCACCTCCAACTCGCATGCAACCGGGGCTGCTGATCATGATGATGTTTGCGTAGGAGTGTTTCATTTTTGCGGACAGCGTCGGTTCGTCAGTCTCTACTGGTCAAACAACTCCAGCCGAGCGGTGGACGAGAGCTGTCCTCCCCAGAACACGTCCATCTGAGAGATCACCAGTGTTCCCGGAGCCCGGCACATCTTCCACGTTTGGAGTGTTTTTCACTTGTTGTCTTTTTTTCCCCCTTCTTCCAGTCTGGATTTGGGCAGAACGTGTTTAACATGCGTTTTTTAAGAACGCGTGAGGGAAAGTGGTTTTCGGCCAATTGAAAAGAACATCAGCCTGGACATTTTTTTGCTCTTTTATTTGCCTGTACTTCAACTGGCAACTAAAGGGGATCAGGACCAGTGGGGGTAATTTTGACCCCAGTCGAGTCAATTTCCTCTTTATTATAGACTCCTAAGTATTAGTTTCATTACTTTACTGACATTGGAGATATCTCGGTTTTCTTTTTTTTTTAAATCCTTTATTTATTTAATTTTGACCATTCTTTAAAGATTTTTTTTCCATACCTACTCTCATCCCTCTGTAACTGAGGTTGATATAAACTGCCACCAGCGTGGGTCGGGACCTTCGCTCCGAGGAGCCACAACTGCCCTAGATGTGACCCAGAGAATCCATCTTATCTCTGAAGGTAATGCTGCACTCTGTCTGGCAGAACTCCTTGTTTTTCTTCTTTTTCACATCTGTTTCTACAGTCATAAATGTTAGATAGATAGATAGATAGATAGATAGATAGATAGATAGATAGATAG